ATATATGTATCTATTTAACAGATGACAATGATGATAAAGAACAAGGAAACACTCAATCATCAGCTTCTGTACTTTCAGATATAAGTATATTAAATATAGCTAAAGCATTAACTGAAAATGATATGAGAGTATTTTTATTATTAAATATACCATTAACAATATGTATTAATAATTATGAAGAAATGCGTACATTTAATCAACGTGAAGCAGCATTTAGTCAAAAAACATTAATGTATTGGAAGAAATTACGTGAAACAGTTAAAGATGATATAAAAATAGCTGAATTAGAATATGCATTAAGACAATCTGATCATAAAGAATTAGCTGATATATTAGTTGAAAGAAATCGTATGAATTTAGAAATTACACGAGATTTATTACAGAAATAAACAATTCTAAGAAGATTTTCTTTTATTGCTGATATATATATATATATAAATTACAACTATATCGGTGTTTCTTTCCATTCCATAACACACATTCCACCAACTTATATGTATATTGATATAAAAGGTAATATATGTTGGTTCTGTTCTGTTTGAAGTTAATGATTTCATCATGGAATATTGATGTAACTTGTATGTTATTTTGTATAATTATAAACTGTTTGTACAAGGACTTTTGTATGTTTTTATAGTATATAAATAATATAAGTATTTCAAAATACAAATTTTTGATAAACTAACTTGCATATTTTTCAGAGTTTAGATAGTTAGAGAGGTAATTGTCCCCAAATGCCCTGGTACAGCCGAGAATGGGGAGAGTCCGCTCTCCCTCTCGAAATGCTCTCACATGGCCACGCGTATTTAGCCTCTGTCAGGGAAGTCCTACTCACTGCCTTCTCGCGGCGGGGGTGTTGTTCGCGAAAATGAGAGGACGAAAAGCGAATGTCCGGCGCTTTAACCGGATTCCAAACCAATGGTGCACATGGGCTCCAGTATCCTGAGGGAACAAATGGCGTATGAACCAATTGTTGGTCACCGGCTACCATGGGACTGCATCTCCTTACGATGCTCCACTGCCTTGTGGATCAGACCCTCAGGTCGAAGGCTCGGGGTGTGGCCCCTTAAGAAAACCACCTGCTTCGGTCTGGGCACCCGGGCAGTATCACAGCCCTCACACATATCGAATGAGATTTGTGTGGCGCATATGTATTTGGTGCCTCTTTATACCAATATCTATGTGTTGAAATAATAATTGTCAGAAGGCCATTAATGTTTTTATTGTATTCTGTCTCTTCCCATCATAATAGGCTCCCTTCTCATCATTATTTGTTTGTTTCTTACCTTAGGTTAATATGACTAAATTATTTAAGTTAGTGAAATCATGTTGATCAGTAGATGCAAGAAAAGTATCACTTAATTATCATTAAATAATCAGTTTTAATTGTTTATTATTGCCTTGAAAACATGATTTTTCAGAAGATAGAAGTGGGAAATATCGTACAAAATTTTATTTTATGAGAATTATTTGATGAATTACAAATTAATTGTGACAGTCACTTGAATTCAAATTGCATATGGATTATAAGTTTACATGCAAGATTGTAGATCAAAACGTATAAATGAATTACAACTATTAGAAATTTTATTCTCAGAGTTTTCAGTGAACTGCTTACCCTATACAACTAATATCAAACCTTTAGTGAATATTATATCGAGTCAATTAAACTAATGATCGAGTTGTGGTGAGATTGATAAAAATCGATCAGCTCTACTGGTTACAAAAACCTGATATTACTGAATTAAAGTCTTTGCTCTCAAGAGTAAAGACAAGTGATAAGAGACAACGAATTAAGAATTCTATTTGGTTCTCAAACTTCAGTAAGGTATATTTGAATAACAGGAGGAATCAATGCTGTTCTAAAGTTTTAAACAGTTGTCATTAAATATTACATTAACATACATTACTGCTCACCTATGTGAATAAAATTGATCGAAATTTAAATCACTCAAACGTTTCGTCCAGTAAACTTATCTGAACTTCTTCAGGGTAATAATCAAAATTGTAATCATCTAAGAAATATGTAGTGTTTAACAATCAAAATAAGGATTTTGATTATTACCCTAAAGAAGTTCAGATAGGTTTATTGGACGAAACGTTTGAATGATTTAAATTTCAATCGCTGAGATTATTTCAAATATAATTGTCATATATAATAACAAGATATATAATTGTAATAATACAAAGGTATATGACCTACAAAGAAATATGTATACATGATATCCAAACTTGAAAATACATACTTATGAGAAATATAATCAAGAAATGTCACATTTAGAAATCATTCTCAAAGTCTTAACAGATGAATTTCGATCAAGTCTGTAGTCAAAAAATTACTTATCAGATCATTAGATAACTGTTACTCTGCATCATTAGTTAACTGAAATCAGATTCAATTGCATGATCTGCCATCTTCCACAGTAGACACTTTTGTGAAATATGCGGATGATCTCACTGTATGTATACCTATCTCTTCCTCTTTACATCCAATAGAAATGAATGAGTTTTTGTCTCGTATTGATTGTTGGTCTGTTGGTAATGATCTAATACTTAATCCGTCTAAATGTCAAACTGTTAACTTTAGCATGAAACATGAACGGAATCTAAGCACTATTTTGAGATCCCATAATGCTTGTGCCATTGAAGGCTCTTTGATAAACACAGTGTCGAAGGTCAATTACCTTTTCCTTTGATCTCTCTTGGTCTTCTTAAGTTTTATTGTTATCGAAGAAGGTTTTCCTTCTGACTTATTACATAAAGAAATTGTATGCTCTTGGGGTTACTCGTCATTTACTCTTACAATTTGTCAATTCTTTCATATTACCTATTATTCTTTACTGTTCGCCATGATTCTTTACCGAGCTTTTGAGAAAAAACTTTGCCGTATTGCGGAGAGTGCTGAAAGCAGTTAGCAAGATCTGTGGTGAATCTTTCGAGGTCATAATTAATATGGTTGTAGATAGACATTCAAAGTCATGCAAACTCCTGGCAGGCGTTATCTTATCAGATGTTAACCATCCCTTTCACTCATATCTTTCTCCTTGTATATCTTCTGGTAGAATGAGATGTAATTACATTAAAATCAATGCATGCAAGCAAAAGTATAAAAGTTCTATAATACCTTACCAAGCAAATATACTCTGTGACGAACAGGTTGTAAGAGTTAACCTAGTCAATAACCTGTATTCTTAACATGTCTCTAATTTGAAAAGTTGTACAGTTTTTCGATTTTTTGAAACGTTTTTTCCTTTTTTCGTCTTTGTTACTGTTTTTTTGCGTAAGTAACTTGTTGAAATACCCTGTGCTGAGAATTCTATATTGTACCAAAATATAATATTGAATAAAGCCATCAATAATAATAATAATAATTGCTGACCAAACTAAAGCGGAAAGATTGATTCACAAAATATTCATTTGTCTGTATTATTGAAAATTTCTAGAGCAACACAAAACTCATTAATTTCTAGTATTCAATAATTCTCTAAATGAAATAAGTCTTTGAGGAATTTTATCATCAAGATATCAAAGATGATTCACATAGTTTGGTTCTCCCTACATATCAATACAAATGATCATAAGTTAGAATTATAACACTGTTTATATTTTATTCAAGTATTTGCTTACTTCTTAACAAATTTATCATAAACTCACAGGTTGAAATCATGAGTCAGTTGAAGCTAGACCACCATTGAAAAACTGGAAGCACTGGACGGCCGTTTCGTCCTAGTATGGGACTCCTCAGCAGTGCGCATCCACGATCCCGCACCACGCGGGGCTCGAACCCAGGACCTACTGGCTTCGCGCGCGAGCACTTAACCACTAGACCACTGAGTCGGCATCCAACGGTGTTAATGTCTAACTTCAACCAATCCACGAAGTTGCGCCACCGTACACCATTGTCTTCAGTGAGTTGTTATCTCACAATAGACCGGTTGAACTCCACTGGTAACGGCTTCTCACTAGAACTCCAGGAGTTTTTCCTGAAGTCAGTCACTAGTGAGCAGTTGATTATTATCAGAATGGGTTTTGTGGAGAGTTTAAGACATTTCACAGGTTGAAATTATTAATTGTTGCAACACCAAAAAACAAACACAAAATTTGGTTGCATTAAAACACACATTTTTGATTGATCTATCCAGTTTTTCTTTTAGAGATTATTCATTACACAAGAAGATATAGGGTAAAGTGGTCATGAAAAAAGAGAATATTACATATACATGATCAGTTTAAGGTATATATATATCTGGTTGTATATGCATATAAATTCTAAACTTCTACATTATATACAACTTTGCTTTCTTTTAAATAAAAAACATAAGTCAATAGGTAGATGAGTACAAGAGAGGTGAAAGTGATGAGGAATATTTAAACAAACCGAAAATATTTAGCCTCATTATAAAAAGATATATGCTTGTTTTAATAATCTTTGTTCTTCGAAAATATATATAGTTACATATCCATTTCATATTATCTAACAGTAATCGTATATAAACATAAATATCAGTTTAGTATGAGATCATAAAGTTGTCATTTTTCAAAAAACAAAATAATCAATGTAAAACACTGTAGAATATTGAAGATAATAAATAATCCAATGGAAATTTTCTTCATTCATTAACAATTATGATCTGTTATTTCAATAATTAGAAGAACAACAAATTGTCATATATAGATAGTAATAGTAATAATAGTTGAAATTAAATACATACGGCAAAATAATGGAATGTAAAGAAGATAAAATATATTAAAGATAATGTTGATGGTGATGATGACGATGATGATAGAATTGAAGATGTTCTTATAGTCATATTAAAATTCAACATAACCATATGACTTATGATATTTATTACTGTTTTATTCAAGAGGCTGATATATATAATGCATGTATACAATGTTGTATGCTTATCTTAGAAAGAAACAATAGTTGGATTCAATTCGACAGACATAAACCCATTAATAATCTAGTCAGTATATATATTGCGGGTGTATTTCAAATGTCATATATTCATTCTTTGAGACTGAAGTTGATCTGTGAATAAAAAATACAAAAAATTACACATTATAGGAATGCACAAGAAGAATGAGAATCAAAGTGAACATGCTCATATTGACAACATCATTTAATATATAATGAAAATATAAATCTGATCTATTTTGAATGGTTATAACAAATATATATTTAATGTTGTAATCTAATTAGTAGATAACTTATATTTTTGACGTTTTGTGACTTAATTTAAGCTTCTTCTTCATAGTAAATAACTAAACAAAATTAAATTAACGCAAGTTTAAAAAATACAAAGGAAACAGTGCAAAATATTTCTAGTACAATCAAAATCATAATAGATCTGAATATATCAATGTCAAATCATTCATAGTCAAGTTGGTCATACATATTCAAGTTCATTATGAATGATTTGACATTGATATATTCAGATCTATTATGATTTTGATTGTACTAGAAATATTTTGCACTGTTTCCTTTGTATTGTTTGAGCTTGAGTTAATTTAATTTTGTTTATTTACTCTGAAGAAGTAGCTTAAATTAAGTCACAAAACGTCAAAAATATAAGTTTTCTACTCATTGGGATATAACAAAAATATATTTATTATTTAGAGTATGTGTCTTATAGGACTGCTATTTCAATAGATAAAGATAATCAATATGCGTCATAGGCTTCATTATTAATCAATGTTTCTAACCTTCGTAAATTTCTGGCAGAGCCAAACACTAAGGTCTCAGAGATATCAGTGATAACTCACTTACCTTAAGAGTTTTGTATGTGAAAATTTATATATTCAACTAGTCATTCACTAAACAGTAAAGTGTAAAAAATTATAGTAGTGACTGAATTCTATCCATTTTTTTTCTTTCATAGTTAATAGATAATTGAATCATTGTACTTCTACATTCCCTGTATTATGGACTTTCAGTTGACCTGTCAACTATTGATATACCTTTTAATATCCCTTTACTTTTAAATAATTGAGTACCTACTGTTTCTTTCTCTGTCATATTTGACTTCATTATATGTAAAGTAAGATATCTTACTTGGAATGCGATGTGATCAGATGCATTGTTTTCATAAACTAATAAGTGTTGAGCAATATATAGACTAGGTGTCTTAAAAATGGGTATATGAAAGCTTGGATTCTGTGTTTCCACTTATCAGATTTGAGACTAAAACAAAGAATAAAGGCTTATCTTTGAGACCAATATTAATTAATATTATCTTTGGGTTTAATTGTATTAGTCAGAATGTGTAATTGGTCAGAATATAAGAAGTTAGCCTACTTTGAATAATAACATGGTTCTTATTGGTGAATCTTAACAAGCGATATTGATGAACGTTCTTGTTCTCAACGTACTAATCACTGCTTTTTTTTCAATGATAATTATATAAATTTGATCATTTCCATATACATGCCTTATTAACCATATATCCAGGAATTGTAAAAAAAAAAGGGTGAAATTCATCATTTTGAGTCATTTCAATCTATAACCAATAGTAGAATATATTTCTATAGAATAATCAATAGTCGAATGAGCCTGAGATTTCATTCAGTCTGAGTTGGCTACGATTGACATGATTATCAATCGATTTTATCATTTCTTTGACATTTATTTTATACTAGGCTCATTTACATCAAAAATCTTTTGAAAGACATATATATCTGATGATAACCTCTTTGGCAAATATATTATAAAATATAATAAGAAGACAAATCCTATGACAATCATAATTTGTCTTAGGTCTCAATTGTTTAACTTCTTTCTTTCTCTATTTCTTTCTATATATAAATGTTTTAACAAGTTAGTTTACTCAAAATGTATTGAGTGGGATAGTAACTCATTGAAGACAATGGGTGGATGTGTCGCTCAATTTCGTGGATTAGTTGGAGTTAGACATTAACACCGTTAGATGCAATCTCATTGATCTAGTTGGTTAAGCACCTGGCACGAGATTGATAGGTCCTGGGTTCGAATCCCACGAGGCAAGGTCGTGGATGCGTACTGCTGAGGAGTCACACAGTAGGACGAAACGGCCGTCCAGTGATTCCAGGTTTTCCATGGTGGTCTAGCTGCAATTGACTCATGATCTCAACTGTTGAAATTATTACAGTATAATTAATATAAACGAGTAAGATGAATATTGTTAGTTTACAAATTTATTGATTATGTTTATATCTTATAGTTTATGTAACAAGTTTAACTTTGTTTATATTTGTAGTTATAGAGACCATAATAATAATAATAATAGGTGGTGACAGAAATATAAAGATTAGCCAAATTAAATGTTAAACATCAGAACTGATTAAATTTAATAAGAGTGTTGAATGGATTAAGACACATAGACAGAATTTTATTGTTTATGCCTTAAAATGATTGAGTAGAAGAATAAATAAACATAAATTTATTTTCAATTTTTGGTCTAGTTAATTTATACAACTGAATAATTTTCAAACTAAATTGATTAAAGATTTTATAGTTAATTTTAAAATGAGACTTGAACTAGTGAACAGGATATTCGCTAGACTGAATATATATAAACCTTAGTTCTGCCGATGCTCATAGTTGATAAAACAAATGACTATTTCAACTTTTTGTACAGTGATTAGCAGTAGGGTCAAAAAAATGAGAGATTCATCTTATTTGGGACTATCCAATTAGATGTATCTTGATTTCAGGTTTGATATTAACTTAATTATTCAAATTTAGACTTTAAATGTTTAGCTAGGGTGCTTGTTAGATAAGTTGTGTTTTTATCATTATTTAGTACGTGATAGATAGTGTTCAGCTTGGGCACCTTTGCTTCGGTTTGGGCATCCGAGCAGTATCACAGCCCTCACATAATTCAAATGAAATTTGTGTGGCTCATATGTATTTGATGCCTCCTTGTACCAATATCTATGAGTTCAAATAATAATAATTATTATGTGTGTTCTTGAATTGAAACGAAATCTATTCAGCTACTAAGTGGATGAAACGTGTACACATTTATTTGGTTACATATTCTCAATAGAATTTTACATAAAGTACAATTTCTCAAATTTGTATTAGAAACCTTATATAAATGGAGAATGAAAATTTTTTCCATTTGCCACCATATACTTCAATTATATTGTGATGAAACTGGTGACTGAGATCATGTCATGCCTAGCCTGGATACTCCTTGATTAATATGCCATGGATAGACTAGATCACGTTATACTACACACATAATACACGATTAAATATAGAGTCAGTGTATGAGTTAAACAATACTTTATTGAGCACAATCACGAGCAGTTCCCATTAGGCGAGTTCAACGCAGTGTCTGTCCGTTCACGCCCAGTGAACAATTAAACTTACTTTCACTGACCGCACTTCTGATCAATAAGATCAATAAGATCTAAATTCAGATAGGAGATATGATGAGAACAGCGATAAATCAATGGTCGAATGAAGTTGATAATATAATTTATGCCATTTAGACTAAACTATTATAAAGTATCAAACGTTCTATCAAATAACGAAATCTTGTTTCCAGTTCTCTCTATTATCACAAGCGTTTATCATTAGGGAATGTGGAATACCTATTCAACGATTAATAATTCTCAGTGGTTTTCAAGATGATGCAAAAATTTACTTCATAATAGAAATTAACCTGAAATATAATTAGTTCGTATGCAAGTGAATAATTTCTAATTAACTAAGAAAGTTAAAAATTTCTGTTTAGTATTGGTGGTCTAATTACCACATACTGAGAAAAAGATGATCAATTCATAAATGTACTTGAATTAATTTCTATTATAATAAGTCACCTAGTTAAATAAAATATCACAAGATTAAATATGAAAATGATCATTTTTGTTAAGAAATAAGAAACAATAAGCAAAGTATTTATTTTATATGCAAAGATGTGTAGTGGATAACAGTGGAATCCAGGACGCACGTTTTGTCCAATATGGGACTCGTCAGCTAGATGTATCTTCATTCGAGAGTTGATGTTCACACCGAGACTTGTACTCAGTACCGTTCACTTTAAACGCCATCGCGTTATCCACTTAGCTACTGAGTCCTACTAGCCAGTTGCTTATGCAATAAGGTGAAATTTATATCGAGGCAATACGCACAGCATGCAAATATGCCAATAACAAACTGATCGATTGCAGTCTTAAACATCAGTCCCTCAAAATTATTTACGTCCTTGAAATAAAAAACAGCATTTATTAACCATTTGATTCTTAAAATATGAACCTCATATATGAATGTTTACATCATTAGTTTATCAGTTTTCTGGAAATGACTAATTATAAATTTCAATAACTAAGGTAACTGAGAAATATACTAGATATTCTCCCCCGCCCCACTAGATTATGCTAATCTCGATATGTCTTGTTGATTAGCCTATTAGTAAAGTAACTAATAACAGCTAGATTAGATCATTCTATTAATTAATGAAGTTTATGACTGTTGAATTAAGTTATGTAGTTAGGTGAAGACTTCCGTGTTTCAGCTCATGAGATAATAGTTGGCAGGGATCTTTAGTAAAATAAGACAAAATTGACTTCAGCTTTATTTATTCTTTGTCTATCGTTAAATTTTGAATGTTCATATTATTTGTCTTGTTCTTTTCAAACAGTAATTAGTCCCTATTATAAATTTTGAAAGTGTGATAAGAAGACGAAGTTGATCTGAAAAGTATGATGGATTTACACCTCTTACTTAAAGCCATCTGGTCACACATATATTTGTCAAGGCGTTTATTGAAACTAATATACTAATTCATATGTTTGCACGGCGGCACATACATGGGGAAGAATAATCGGAGAATTCAAACAAGGTTTACGAAACATTTGTCTAGATAGCTTCAAAACCAGTTAGTGTCAAATACTAAGATAAATGTAGGGAGTGGAGGACCATGTTCATCGATTACAAACACATATTTGAAATGGGCCATATAAGTGACATTAACATACCTTTCAAAATATTGTATAGGAATTTTCAAGGACGAATTCTCATCTTTATATGAGCCTTGGTTATTGGTAAATTCAAACACCGTTTATGTGTACAGAAATATTTTGTAGTACCCTTTAATCCACCATGATAATTTTTTTAAGGCCTATGGTGATGGGGTAATGACTTTATTATTTATTAAGCTTTTAGTTAACAGACTTTCATTGGTTTTTATACAAAACTACCTTGACAATTAAATGTTTGATCAGGTCGTTCAAAATAAATAGCTCAAAAACACATTCTTCTCAGGTCAACTCTTTCTCCCCACCATAATATATATTTCTTAGTTAATATTCAACTATGTACATGAGAAAAATGAACAAAAATTGAACAGAACTGTAAAGGAAGGCCAAGGATAGAGTGGGTTGAAGAATGCTGGTCGATGGCCTATGCTCCCTTGGGAGTACCAGGTGTAAGTAAGTAAGTAAATAAAGTAATGTTTATCATTATCGTTTTAATACCATTTTGTTTTTCATAAATTAAATTTTCCGTCTTCTTGAATTGTTCAGATTGCATATAGAAGTGAACTAGGTTAAAATAATTATTTTCTAAGAAAAATAATCATTCCTTTTTTTCATTATATAGTCGATATCACTGAAAATATTCAGTTGACCGATTTTCAAAAAAATTCCAATAAGCTGAACACTGCATCGTCATGACAAATTAGATAAGTAAAGACAGGTATTGTACTTAGTGAATGGAAGTTTCTCTGATTAGTACTACCAAATAAAAAACGAAGGTTCACCTTTTGTTGCGAGCTACTTCTAAACCTACAATGTATAATATAGTATTACATTGGTTTGCTCAATTTATATCTTTAGTATTTTAACTAACTCCGTATGCTTTCGTATAATATAAAAACTAGAAAAAGACATATTCCATGAAATGAACAATCCATATTTGTAGTTACATCATTTTCGAATTTTTACCGACTCAATGGAATCACCATTTTTTGCCGACATTAGCCACATGAAGCAACTCTTTAGTCGTATGGAAGGTCAGTTGTAACTTAAATATTTCGATAGTATTTTCTCTGTTTAAAACTAGGTAACGTGGGTTTTAATTCCACAGAGAGCATCATTTCCTACGAGATTTCATGTAACCACATTGAAGAACACTGATAAGCGCAGAAACTAGGTTTACGATAACTCCTCAATAGTTTTAAATCATATCACATAATCAGATGTTTATAATCCTTCAAAAATCTATTCAGTAATTTGTTTAAAACAACCTTTAATCTAAGATACTTAGCATGCTAGTCGATTGCATTTTGTGTTAGGTATTTTATTATGATCAGCAGACAAAAACGAATAAACAATATTCCCGATTAGTTATTAAAGCTTACTAGGAAACAGTAGATTTAATGGCAATTCGACTTATACCTTCTTTGGAACATAATTTTAAATTTTATGGTTAGGTAGAGTACACAACAACTAATCATGAAAAGAGATTAAAAAAAAGAACATAGTCGTCAATTGGTCAGCGCACAATGTTATCAGATAAATAAGTTATGCTTAGGATATAGCTAAATGTTGATAATATTCCTCCGTATAAAAAAAGAAAGAATAGAATCCTTAATTTTGAATTTAAACTATCCGTTCGAAAAAGTCAACAAATTTAGTAAATGATATCAATCAATCAATCAATCACTTTCTAAATAGAATAAATGTAACTTACCTTTCGGTGATTTATTCACTGTACTTCTTCTAGAACTACTGTCCTTAGAGCTCTGAACAAAAAGATTGAAATGATTACACAATTCACTATTGATTAATAATGTAGTAACATGGGTTTAAAAAATAAATTAAGCACATATACTTGAAATATTCGTCTAATAATCATGATGTCATAAAAAATGTCAATGAAAGTAGTATATTTTTATGAGTAAAATAACTGAAATATGATTATTAATGCCTGTGAACAACATCTGAGGTTACAATTGAGTTGTAGTTTTTGATAGTAATCAATAAGGGCAGTTGGCAATATATTTTTTAAGTTTGAAGTATGAATAGTCAAAAGATTATCAGTCTAAATCTTTTTACTAATTTACAAATGAATAAGGAACCTTACACTAGATTTCAAAATTTTACATGCGTGTTTCACTGTGAATTAATGAACGCGACTATAGTTTTTATGACATCATATAGATGAATATCAGGAATTGATATCAACTGAAGAATTATTACAATCTATGAGGCATCGGATATATGTTAACATTTGTTCACTGTTCTTTAGTAGCGTACATATAATAAATACATGGTCCAATTTGAAAACACTTCCTTCCCATTTACATAACTTAATTTCGGCTGATTTAGCAAATACTTTGATCTTTGCTTTGATACTGCAATGAATTATTTGTAGGCTGTCGTGCAATGGGCAAGTATACTAAACAACAGATCAGTAAATTTTGCCTTGTGGCTGTGGAACATGATCTTTAATGATGGAGGATATTTGTAGGTTGTTAGTATTTTATCATAGGTGTCTTTGAAACATTGCACATTTATTTTAGGACTACCGTATGGTAAACACTGAAATTAGACTGGGAGTATTGGTTCAAGATAAAAAAATAATTTGTCGATACCGTGAATCTTCTTCGATAGAGGTATTTGGAACGTTTAATATACTTTCAAATCACTACTAGTAGGTTGGTAGAAAGTTGCAGTCGGAAAAACGAAATGTAAATCCAGACCATGAATGCTTTGACTGTCGGCCTCAGCCATGTTAGCAGGTACAGGAATTAGGTGATATGGTTCAGAATCAATTATAGTGGAGCAAATTTGTTCACTTATTATCTTCCATATGATCCTGAGTTTCAAAATTAACTTGTAACTCTATTTCAGCGTATTTATTCCTTATTTTCAAATAATCTTTAGGTCCAGTTGTTTCTTCTACCACAAGAAATCTTAGTACTTTTACAACTCATAGATTTATTTTAATAATGTCATTTCACTGTGATGTGGTGTGGTAAATTGAACAAATGCATATATATCCCACGTTCTACGCTGATTGTAACTGAATAAGTGAGGACCTGAAATACTGTATGAAAACAATGTCTAAAAGATAAAACTACTTCAATAACAATGATAATAAAGCAACAGAATTACCTTAGCTTGTCTTGAACTATCAGATGAAGTTTTCGATGAAGATACTGATTTTTTAGGAATTGGTATAACAACTGGCATTAACCCATGAAGACTAAACCAATGAGGTTTACCATCAAGGTATTCTTTATCTGAAATAGTTATATGTTCATTTGAAATAATAAAAATGTATCATTAGTATGACAAGAATTTAAGGAAATTATGGATATACGAAAGAACGTTTTTCAAGAGAATAAGTTAACTTCTATGTAAATGAATGTGAATTAGTTTTGTAATAATAAATGTAGAATATTCGTGACCAAAGTTGTAGTGTGAGAACCACTGAGTTTCAAGTCAGTGCTTTTAAGAATAAAGAATCATTGATTTATTCTTGTCTAAAGCGTTTAAGAATTTTAAACTTAAGCATAACTGATCTATCTAATTCTTTGCCATACTTAAACAGTTTTAAATACTTTCCACCTAATTGTTTTACCAAAGATATTGAATAGGTCTGCTTATTATAATATTTTTATTTGGAAGCAAGAAAAAGCTAGCTACAAATAAGAAATCCATTCAGAAATTTACATTATATCGAATCAAAAATAAATAGTTGATGGATACAGGAGATCCACCTAGGGGAGTTGGAAAACTCTGATTCCAACCCACTGGTGAACATGGGCTCAAGTATCCTAAGGAAACAAGTGGCATATGAACCTATTGTTGGTCACCGGCTTCCATGGGACTTCATCTCTTTACGTTGCTCCACTACCTTGTGGATTTAGCCTTTAGGTTAAATGCTCGGGGTGTGTCCCCCTAAGAAAACCAACTGTTTCAGTTCGGTCACCCAAGCAGTATTCCAATCCTCACATAAATCATTTGATCTGTGTGGCGAATATCTATTTGGTGCCTCATTATACCCATGTTTATGTGTTTAAATAAATAAATTCATTTCAGGATAGTGTACATTTAAAATTAGTTTTTAGACCATTTCTTTCATACTTGTAATCACTATACTTGCATTCTTTTCATAATATTCACCTTGGAATATATAAAATATCGACCATTTCGTAATCAATTTTTATCATAACAATTAAATTTAGGTTGAATTCATTGTTTAATTAATGATTACCCGCAACTGTTATTCATTGTTTCATCAGTTATCTTAACAACCATTTCGTTCCGTAAATTAATGGAGCAATGTTTACTGTCTCCATCAAATTGTAAGTTATTCATTAATCATGGAGGGGTTTTGTAGATGTTATAGTAATATATTGGATTGGTTAAAGTTATACATTAACACCGTCGGATGCCTACTCAGTGGTCTAGGGGTTACTGTGTTCGCTCGTAAGACCGATAGGTTCTGGGTTCGAGTCTCGCGCGGTAGGATTGTGGATGCTCACTGATAAGGAATCCCACAATAGGCCGTCCAGTGCTTTCAGGTTTTCCATAGTGGTCTAGTTTTGATTGACTCGTGAATTCAACCATTAAATTTTTCATTAATATTTCAGTCACTACTCAATTAAATAGTTTTTATCCAATATCACTAACTTTTGTTAAGCACTCGTTTAAGAAGGATTCAGTAATCGAATAGATCATCTAATTCATTCTATTAATAGATTGTCACTTCAAATAATGTAAATAGAAGTCACTAATTTTACGAATTCATTTAAGAAATCATTTAGTTACTAAAAATTAGTCTTGTGATTTCGGAAAATTCAAATTAGTTTGCCATGAAATGGAAAGAAACTTGTATTAACATTATCGTGGTGCATAAGTTAGTCTCCGAACACTGTAATACTTGTTAACGTGAACAGGTAATGCTTTACGTCTCAGAATACTATAATTAATCCTAGTGTTTACAACCTTTTTCAATGAAATCCTACTCTCGTATCAATGTTATTTCTATAAAAATGAGAGAAATAAATTGAATTAGCTGACAAGAAAGATTCACTTAGGAAAGTTGAAAAGAATGAATAGTATGGAAACCTACTTTCCCAATAGATCTTATATGAAAACATTCCTTGAAATTATTACATAAGAGTGTAGATTAAATTTATGGTGAGTGAATGAGAAAATAATTCCCTATTAAAGCCATTTACTTTTATTTGGATATTAAAATAGTGTTATAACATTTAAACAATTTATGACAATCATAATAAAGGAAATGAAAATTTATGTATCATATTTCTTACTACCTTATTACTGATATGTCTTATTATTTGAATGCTACTTGATATATCTGGTCGTCCCTGATTGTTGTGTTGGAAACAGTTATCACTTATATTTGAAACGAGGTACCTCTGTAATTCCCACGACGCGAGAAGGGTTGTCGTCGTCGTGTTTTGGAGTTAGTAAATCTTCACTTATATCAGTCTTTGTATTTTTACTGTCGCGTCATGAGGTATTGCGGAGGTCTCTCGTTTCGAGTATAAATGATAAGTGTTTCTGACACAATAATCAGCGACGACCAGATATAACATGTGGTATTAAACGGCAAAAGCATATCAATTATACCAAATATTCTTTCATGTTACAAATGATAATAATATATAAACATTTTAATGATATTAGAATTATAACATGTTTAATTTGATCTAATAAAGTTAGAATACTTACCACCAAGGTTAATAATTGTTTGTCCCATAAAATCATTTGTTTTTAATCGATCAAAATCCCATACAGTTACTTCAAGTACACGTCGTTTCAATGTACGTTTTATACAATTCATAAATACAACAGTCTGTTGCCATTCAGGTGTTAATGTATTAGGCATATATTTTGTTTGACGATTAAAATCAGGGCTAATATGATTATATTTAATATAATAATTATATAAAATAAAATTGTTAACATGACATAACTTCGGTTTTATTTGAAAAAGAAAATATCTATCAAGACTTAGATTTTTAAATCATTTTTACAATTACATAATTTATAAACGTCGGTGAGACTTTAATTTATGGACGATCCAATCAGAGGCATTTTAGAGATTTCAAGGTTACGGCGTCATCTTTAATGCTTAATGCTAACGTATGATCGGTTCACAAGGAATTTTGTACAAAACGTGATAATTGAGTGGCTATAACAAATAAAATGGCAAGACTATAATTTGTGGATGAATCAATCAGGTATGAGATAATAGATCTCGGATTTTAACGTGAAAGCCTTTCATCCATTTGACTAGATAAATTTCTGGCATCATAGCTGATGTCAATTCGTGCTGAAAACCCCATATAATAATTCCTAACTAAGGCAAATTATGACAATTCTTGCGAACTGGATAATAAAAGCACCAGTAACACTGGCTGCAGCCGGGTACTACAATATATACGGATGTTTGGAGAGCGTACAGACTCCTACATAGGCTTGGTTATGTGCATCGTGTCGTTATCCACAAGTAATATTTTGTGCACTCAACAACCGATGTGCACATAAACACTATTGAAACTATGTGGTCGAGGCTGATAGAGTTATTGAGACTTTATCATGGCTCCAGAGGCCGACTATTCTGTAGACATATGGATGATTTCCTCTACTGCATGCATTACTATTTTAGAACCTCTGAACCTTTTTTTAACATTGAAAAGTTTTTGAACAACGTATAAGAAATGTATTCACTTTATTTCCTTGGTTTTGTACAACGTATTTTTACCCTATACTGACTGTTTGCTGATTGGCTAATATTTCTCAAGGTTACTTAAGATTTGTTCAAAGGTCGTCCATAAATTAGAGTCTCGCCTGAACGTCTATTCAACTTGAGCTGTATTTTCATCATGAATTTATGTCTTCCATATAATTTAGTTGAAACCAAAAATCATCTAAATATTCATTTCGTTCTAATTTCATACTTCACAGTAATCTCTAGTTACAATTTTTGTTTATTCAGTGAGTGTATAATACTACTGAGTAGTAAAGTTAAAAATCAATAATTAATACTTCTGATCCCACGTAACTTTAGATAAAACTCAGCTCTCATTCCATGTTATCCATTAACAGCTGCTTCACTTCTGAATGATAAAATAACTTCAAGAAATCTGTTTCGAACCATTCTATCAATGAGAATACGATTCTTTTAAAAATGACTGAATACTACTCCCTTGGACACCATATAGAATACAAGCGAATTTGTCCGCTTTACGAAAGTCAATCAAATCAAGAGATGTTCTTTGTCTTACATTATCTTTATTTCTTAAATTTGTATCATGAGAATTTTACAAGCGTCTAGTCGAAAGTTGGCGAAAGTCAACATTAATATAGAGTGTAAATTATTAGTCTTTTTACGTCTATTGAATGTTTGTCCTAAATACTAAGATAAATGTAAATATTTGCCAAAATGTGCTTCAAGGATATTACAAAAATAATATCCATTCAGTGTAATCAAGCTTGTAAGGAAGATTCAGTGTTAACATTCTATATTTATTTGCGAACAGATAAGCTTGCATTTCTGTTATGTTGTTTGAAGTAAATTAAAGTGTATTTCAATAAGTCATATAACGACGACACTAGATTCTCTTTTATTCAGTGTTTATTAGATTCCAGTAAGTAGATTTCGAACGTGATCACCAAGTCATATGACTTAAAAACAACATTCAACTTAAAAGTAATCCGTCACTGAGTAGTAACCAACGTCAACGATCAAGTTACAATATGGTCACTGGTTCAAATAACTTCGTATCACGGCTAACATCATTTAATGTTAGATCATAAAGAAGGTTTGAATACTGAAGGGAGCGTCAATTCATTCCAGATTTCCGTAATTTCTTGCTAACGAGTACCAGCTAGCACAAATCCTAGATTCACAATTTCCTGTAAACTATATAAAGCTACATGAACTATGATCTTAATCTAAAATTATTATTCACATTGCTACATATAATTTCAAAGTATTATATCTAATAAAATGAACCATAGAAAAGAAATTCATCATAATAAATCTAAAATTCATAACTAAAACATAATTAATTAATTATACTTACTCTTCTGTTGGATCTGGATGTAGTCTTACTTTTACAAATGGATCAGCTAAACCATTTAAATCCATCGCTGGAAGATTACGTGCACGTGCGACATGTACAGTTAAACTTTGATCATAATCATCAAATGTTAATATTAACTAGAATTACATAGATAAATAAAGATTTAATAATAACAATATTTTTTGTGGTCATATGAAAATAGTTGTAGCTTAATTAGATGCTTTTTGTATGGTATCATACTTTAAAGGCTACATTGTTTTAACTGTAAACTATTATTATTATTCTGAACATTATAATCATGCGCATATTCCAAAGAAAAAGAAACTTGTCAAAATCATTTCATAAGTATGAATAATTAGACAATTTGATGATGTTGCCTGTGATTGACCATTCACAAAAACTTTGTTATGTATATTTTTAGTCAAACTATACAGTTGAAAAAGTATAACACTACGTAAACGTTTAACTACGCCTGTATCTCTTTTAGAGTTACTGCCGGTCCCAAGCCCTAGTAAAGGAGGAGGGTTGGGCATGGGGTTAGCAACCCTATCCCGTTCAAAACCAACTCGCTAAAAAAACGCTGACCAGAGAAAATAAGTAAGTAAACAAGTATGTAAACGTTTGTACACCTCCATAGAGTTTTAATAACAACTACCTACCTTCTTAATATAAAATGCTAGCACTAACCATCGACTTATCTATTCATCAACAGTGTACAAGGTTTCTCATACATCTTTTTATAGTTATGAAAAGTACAAACTCATATTTGTTGATCAGTGCAATTTTGATTTAAGATAAGAATCAAGTAAGAATGTTGATCATTTTCTGCTAATTCAATGTTGTTCACTATTTGTTCGGTAGCCAACAGAAATTAAACGTGTATTTATCAGTTTTTTTTAAACAGTCGAAGATTACCATTACACATGTGATACTGAAATGAAATGGATCTATGGTATCAGATTAAATGGTTTGCTAAAATGACATGTTTATTTTTTAATAAGTCACTAGTTAGTATCAGAATCCGTACTGTCCATTCTTCAAGACACACTATATTTTATTCATCTACTTTCATACAAACCTTTTAAAGTGGCTCAATATCTCAGTGTACACCATTTGGTGTACAACAGATATCATCATATAAATTTATAAATGGTGTATCTTATTAATATACCATACGTTTTCGACATATTTTACGAGATAAACTTATCAAGGTGATAAGCAGAAGTTTTATTAAGTATCAAAATTTACATCGTCGGTTCATAAAATACAAGTTCCTTCAATTTAAACTGTGATTTTTGCTTCCAAATAATTTGAATACTTCCATTTGACAGTTTGTTCACTTGTTGGATCAATCAGTATACATCATTTATTGATACTTCCATTACGAATTTCAGTTAGTCAATAGGTTATACAAAAAGTCATATATTTGTTAATTCTCATTTTTACTCAAAGATCAGGCTTTTTCTGTCGCTATATTCTATTTGTATTGTTCAGTGTAATCTATTTTTAGGTGATTGAAAGGAATCGTTGCACATAAAGAGGATTTTCAGATGCTGCATTCTCTGAACTCAGTTAACCTAGTTCTATTTCCACTATGTGTTATCGTACTAATACATTCAGTTAAATCCTAAAGATATCATAATTTCTGAGCCATCTACTGGACTAAATAAATTAGGGTTTTATGGAGATCATGAATCAACCAAAGTTAGACAACTATTGAAAACCTGGGAACACTAGACAGTTTTTTTCGTCGTTGCATAAGACTCTTTAGCAGTACGTACTGCTGATGACGATCTTACTTTCTATAATTGAACCAAGAATGTTCAGTCTCGCAACGGACACCTAACCTTTAAACCATTAAATCGGAATCTAATAATGTACACGTTCAACTTTAATCAATCTGTTATATTGCTCAACCCATTTATACTAAAAACATTTTTGCTATTTCTTTTAATATTTCAACAGTGCAATTCAAATCGATTGGAAAAAAATGGGTAGTGCTTCCGCCTGAATAATTTTATTTTTCAGTCTTTTTTGTTGTTGCTAACTAGTCTATTGAATCTATTCACGTGAAAAGAAAACATAAATGAAATGTATACATTATCAAGCTAATTGGAAATATGAACTAAATTATTAACCGACTGTCAAAATGAATATTATTTTGAATGGGAGCCAACGAAATATGAGAATAAAAAAGTCACTCTTGAGTAAACATTTAGAAAAAGGTTTTCATCTCACCCTCCCCCCCTCTAAGTAAAAAAGCAATCAAAACTGTCACTAAATTATTTCAGTGTTTAATAAAGGGGATTTAGAATACATTTTGGATATAAAACATGAGAATTTTATTTCAGCAATAGGTTGATATATTCCTGAGATTTTCTGTTATCGAAGATGTAAAGTTTGATTGGTTATTATTAAAGAGAATTAGCTGAGAAAAGTACTTCTAATTTGATCAGAAGCATTCCTAATGGTAGGAAATTCACATCGGAAATGTGCTCAAACAACGAATTATCATTGTTGAAGGTTTCGATTATCATAACTAATAAGGATAACATAAAACTCAAGCAAATCAGAAGTGAACAAGCACAGTTCGAGTTATCAATGAAAGTATTTACCCATACATTTAGATTCGTATAAATGAGACACTAGTGATAATATCTAGGAAAAGTGTAATGACCGTCCAAACCTAATAGTCTTGATATTACATATGCAAGGTAATTGATTCATAACTCATTAATGTCCTTGATGTACTAAATAGCTTGAGATAAAATTATATAAGTACCAAGAATTCGAATATTTGTGATGTGATCTTGTTAGACCATCCTAAAAGCTTGAGTAATTAATCTGTTATACTGATGCTGATTTACTGCCACAGGTGCTTAATTTTTAGTTAGTCAGTGAGGAAAAACAAGAATGTAGAATTGTGGCTTGTGCTACTTATATTAACATAAGTAGTATATGACGTTAGTTGTGAACAGAAGGTCTGGCAGTAGAGAGACAAGAGGATCAAACAGTATAGAATGGAAGCAGAATGCAATTTGTATGAAAATGCAAGAACAATGAAGTCTGAGTCATTTTGAGACAATTGATGGACATTTTGCAAATTAAGCATTTACTTTATGATTGTTAGATTTTATTAACAAGTCCTGTAATGTTGTACGAAATACATTCGATTGTTCCCACTGGTGTTCTTGCTCACTACAGTATTACAAAACTTTAGCCAAAAATAACATACAATAATGAAGAGAATATAATTTGTCAGAAATAGGGAGTTTAATGTTAAAATGGGAATATTAAACTCAAGATTAAATTACAATAGCTTTTAAAAGGGAAACGATAGTAGAAAAGTCCATGGATCATACGAGAATTTGTGATTAGGAAAATATAAAAATCAGATGGTATACTAACTACAAATAAATAAACATTAATAAATGAAGGGGTGATAATTTATTAAATAATAAATTACAATGTTTGTTTTTTGTTGTCTCTTATGCTCACATTATAAAGAATGAAATTAAAACTTTACATTGGAACCATCTAGTTTAGAGAACAGAAATCATGCTTTTGAAATACAAATCTTTTTCATCATTTCAACTCGATGTATATCAACTCAGAGAAAACCTTTCAATAATATTCGACAGTGATTTATTCTCTTTGCCAACAGTAAAACACCGAAACACAAGCCCTGATTCGATACATCATAATTTCACTCTACTGGTTGATGATAATTTCAGTAGTTTGAATATATTATCGAAATTTGCAAACTAGATATAAATAAATGCTGTGGTGTATGTTGTTGATGTCGACAGATATGATTAGTATGTATCAGTAATCAAAAGTGGAATAACTGGAGGCAGATGGTTGAGAAAATCGAAGAGACGAGAACGAGAACAGAGAGTGATTCGTATGGAAACAGAGGAACAACAAAGTCTGAGACAATTGATGGATATTTGCAAATGAACTAATTACTATATGGTTCTCAGATTTTACTAAAAGAATATGTATTTTTGTGTTCAAATAAGTTTGGTTTTCCTTATTTCTGTTTGCATTCACTACGATGCTAGTAGACCTGATTCGAAACAATAGGAATCTTTTCCATCATATTCATCTTAATTACACATGATCAGTAGGCGATAAAGATTTGTCTAAATGATATTTAAACTATCATTTTATTCAACTAATCAAAAGATCAGAAGGGGTTTTGTGGAGATTGTAGTAATTTAATAGTTGAATTCGTGAATCAATTGATGCTAGACTAACATGGAAGACCTGGAAGCACTGAAAGGCCGTTTCGCCCTATTATGGGACTCCTCATCAGTGCGTATCTACGATCCCACCTCAAGAGGTTCAAACCCAGGACCTATCGGTCTCACGCGCGGACTCTTAGCCTTCAGACCGCTGAGCCGGCTGGCATCCAACTATGTTAATGTCTAAATACAACTAGTCCACGAAATTGAGCGCCACCGTCCACCATTGTCTTCAGCGAGTTACTATCTCATAAGAAACCCAGTCGAACTCCATTGATCACAGCTTCTCATTAGAACTCCAGGAATTCCCTCTTGAAGTCAGTTACTAGTGAGCACATGTTGAATTATATCAGAAGGGGTTTTATGGACTAATGCGATAAAACGAGTCAATTCATAGTCAGTAAAATTCAATCAGCAAATACGGATTACTTGATAACACTTATAAGCCAAAAATGCTTGAAGTAGAGCTAAGCTTTTTTAGGCAACATTATTTGATTAATTTTTTTAGAGGTGCATGTTATAACGAATATCAGTTAGTGAAAATATTGAGAATAACATAAATTGGCTTTCAACTAAAAAAAAACATGCTCAACAATGGAGAACTACTGACCATCACCAAAAAATCTATACCTACTGCATAATTTATTGGCTTTCTGAACTTAGTAGCTCAGTGGATAATGCCCTGGCGTTTGAAGCCAAACGTGATCGGTTTAAGTCTCAGTGTGAACATAAACTCTGTAACCCATATACGTCCAAATGACAAGTCCTAAATAAGACAAAACTCGCGTTCTAGATTCCATTCGTAGCCACAAACTATATATACTAATGAATATTCTTTCATGTTTAGTGATTCTTCGAAATAAGATATTTGAGGAAATCCAGTTGGTATATTAAACTTCATTTACAACAACAAAACCATCATTTGTATTCATCGAACTTTCATTAAAAAAATCCACCTACTGGATAATTGTAAACTAACATGAGTACCGGTTGTATTATTTCCTATCAATATTTCCTTAATCTCAATATTGACATTTACATTATATTGTACTTGTTTTAATATCCTTCGATTAAAATAACTTCAAAGGCAGAAAATTCAATCGGTGTAATGATAACGAATAACTTTTAAATCCAAAAATATTTCTCTGATGAAATGACGTTAAATATTGTGATGGAATGAACTGAATTGATGGCGGTAGATGATATGAATCAGAAATTTACAAACTTTTAATGAATTTATCATTTAGATAAAATTTAATCATTTTGTAGAACTGAATTGTAAACACATTAATGTCATACTATTAGTTCATTTCAGAAATAAAATGCTAAAATTTATGCGCAAAGATAAATGGTAGCTAGCAGAGGAATTTGGGATGTGCATTTCGTTCTATTTAAGTCTCGTTAGCCGGATGTACCTACATTTCAGATTTAATGTTCAATTTGGGACTCCAAAATAGTACCGTTCGTTTCAAACGCCATCATGTCATCCACTTAGTTACTGAGTCCTGATAGCCACTTGCATGTACAATGGGGTGAAGTTTAAATTCACTTGGAATTGTTTACTTGAATCTTCCTACTGATGTTTAGGACTCCAATTGATCAATCTCTTATTGGCATATGTTCATGCTGTGTATATTACATCGATACTGCTTTAATTCACAAGCATTATAAGCAGAGACAGATGGTGGCTAGCAGTTGGATCCAGGACGTATACAAGATGCAAATATGCAAATAAGAAACTTATCAATCGCATTCTTTAATATCAATTGAAAAATTCAAAAAATGATACAAAAATGAATTGAAATGTATAGGATTCTTACATAAATCAAATTATTTAGGTACATGAAGGGCACCAGGATGTTTCAAAGCTGTCGCATATCAAAAATGCACCTACATACAGAACACTACAAATCACTTCCTTGAACGTTGAAAGAATTTTCAGCTATTTATTCGTCTTTATTTGAAATAAAAACTACACTAAATCATATTAACAATAATTTCCTTGACTGAAACGTTCGTGGTAAAATCTAAACTTAATTTTAGATTTATAACTATTGAAATCTGTGAAAAACTAGTGAATAATCTTTCATTCAAATGATACCAAAACTCAATGATTAATGATTAAAAGTAAGATGGCAACCTAATTGGGAATGATAGTTGAAGTCTATGGGTCAATTCGAGTTATTACTAAACATCATTCGTAGTTATTATGACTACTTGATGTAGTATTGTAGTGGACAAGAACACCAGTGGGGACAATCGAATGTATTTTACACAACATTACAGGACTTGTTAATAAAATCTAACAATCAAATAGTAAATACGTAATTTGCAAAATGTCCACCAATCGTCTCAAAATGACTCAGACTTCATTGTTCTTGCATTTTCATACAAATTACATTCTGTTTACATTCTTTACTGTTCAATCCTCTTGTCTCTCTGCTGTCAGACCTTCTGTTCACAACTAACATCATCTTCCATTTATGTCATCATAAGTAGCACACACCACAGTATAACACACAATTACAGATTCTCATCGTAAAATCTGAGAACCATATAGTTATTAGTTCATCTGCAAATATCCATCAATTGTCTCAGACTTTGTTGTTCCTTTGTTTCCATACGAATCACTCTCTGTTCTTGTTCTCGTCTCTTTGATTTTCTCAACCTTCTGCTTCCAGTTATTCCACATTCCATTGCTGATACATACTACTTATATCTATCGAAATCAGTAGCACACACTACAGCAATAGTAAAACTTGTTTATATGTCCTCCGTTAGTAAATAAAATGGATAGTATTATTAAATTGAGGATAATTCGTATTGATTTAAATAACAGTAACATAAACTTACTTCAATCTCACCATATTCTAATGTATCATCATGTTTCTCATTGTTAGACTATTGAAATATAAAATAAATGAAAATAATTTAACTAAATACGATGATGAATAGGTTTAACAACATAATCATCATTTATGTATTTATAGTGTAGAAGAAATATCAAAAAAGAAACATTTCATGGCAAGAGAAATAGTGCCGAAGTATAACAACCTAATCTGTTCTACTTTGAAAATGTGATACAGAATTAATGAATGTAAATGTGATGTATAACTTCAAAGTTCATTGAAACTACTACTAGACCAAGATAGAATTATATGGAAGAAAATGTCAAATCTAAGTTTGTTTAGGCAGATAGATGTTATCTTGTACAGATGGATGTATTTTAGATATGCATGTGATTGCTTCAATCAACGTGATAGACTAACTAAACAGACTATCAGTTTTAAATGTTTATGAACTAGTTATGATCTACTGATTGTTGATTGAATTATGATATCAAATTGTTAATGGTTGTTTCAAATGAGCCTGATATATTTGTAGAGTTTTCTAAAGCATCAGCGTAAATACTCACTTTAAAATAATTTCCTAAACATTTGATGATAATGTCAGTTTATTCATTAGAATCCTTTATGTAGTCGAAATTGGTAGAGTGAACAGTCAGTTAGCTACAACGTAGGACCAGGCATATACATGCATCGGTCCAGGTTGCCATACCTCATTAGCACAGCAAGATGAACACCGGATTCATAGAAGTAGTTAATTCAGAGGTGTTAATGTATAAAAGAAAGCTTGCAATAAGGATATAGTATAGGAAGAAAAAAAGATATGAAGCGATTTTAATCTCTTAGTTTAAGGGAAGACAAAATGTATAGACTTGATTAGTTATGTAATTAAGTTCGAACCCAAAACCTGTCGGTCTGGAACACGAGCGCTTAACCTTCAGACTACTCAGTCGGTATCCTTTGGTGTTAATTCTTAAATTCATCTAATCCGCGAATTTGCACCACCGCCCACCATTGTCTTCAGTGAGCTGATATCTCACAAGAGACCTGGTTGAACTTCACTGGTCACGGCTTCTCACTAGAACTTCAGGAAATGCCTCGTGATGTCAGTCACTAGTGAGCAGATGATTATTATCAGAAGGGGTTATGTGGAGATTTTAGTAACTCCAATAGTTGATATGCGTAAGTTTCAGAGAACTTTGATATTTGTACTTTATCCAATTGTATTGTATAATCTTCAGGATTATTTATTGGAAATGAAGTCTACTCTAGAATATTTAAATTTAAGTTGTTTGGTTATATAGTTAAAGACAGTACTGTTACATCCTACCTGTCATAGAATCTCACAGAAAAATATTCAATGTAAGAGTGAATATTTTTGTTTAGCTTACCGATCGACTTCCACGTGGTCCATTTACACGACCTCCTTTAGATGATCTTCTACTATTATTTAATTTATCACTATCAGAAGTATTTGATTGTTTAGTATATTTTGAATCTTGTACAGTTGATGATGATAATTGATTTATCGACTTTTTAGGAGAATTTGATTCAAACCAATTCATAGTGTTATTATTTAGTGTTAATCTACTTTCTTCAATATTTTCCTCTTGTATTTGTTGTTCATTTGTTGAATGTAATTTATGTGAATTCTGTGCAACTTGACTTATTGATCGATGATCATTTGATGGCATAGATAAATAATGTTGACGTATATGTGGACAAATTGGTGGACCTTTTGATTGATTCATTAATGCATGTTGTGCTGCATGATGATGACATAAGGCATCTGATTAATTGAAAACAAACAAAAAAAGATAAGGTAGAATTTCATCGAACACAATGAAAATGAATAAGTTAACATTTATAAGAGGGAATTTGAGTAATTACTCTGAGTAATTCAAAACTGTAAACATTTTGTTTGGTATCTATAAATAAACCTTAATAGATAGTATAAGACTCCAGATGATATCCATCAAGATGTACTACAATAACATTTAAATTTCGGCCATTTTTTTCACAGACGGGATTTTGTGGAGATTTTTAGAAATTTTACTGATTGAAATCATGAGTCAATTGAAGCTAGACCACCATGGGAAACTTGGAAGCACTGGACGGACATTTCGAACGAGTATGGGACTCCTCATCTGCTAACTAATGACTGATTTCAAGAGATACTCCTGGAGTTCTAATGAGAAGCCGTTACTATTGGAGTTCAACCAGGTCTGTTGTGAGGTATCAACTCACTGATGACAATTGTGTACGGTGGCACAAATTCTTGAATTGGTTGAAATTAGACATTAACACCGTTGGATGCAGGCCCAGTGGTCTAGTTGGTTAAGCGACTGGCGCGAGACTGATAGGTCCTGGGTCCGAATCTCGCGGGGTGCAGGATCGTAGATGCTCACTTGTGAGGAGTTCCACACTAGAACGAAACGGCCTTTCATTGTTTCCAGGTTTCCCATGTTGGTCTAGCTTCAATTGACTCATGATTTCAATCAGTGAATTTTTTAGCAATCCAAATAATAAGTTTCTTTCTGAGTCATCAACTGATCTCAACTGTGATATCACTAAAAAGGAACTAATAATTTTTATCCTAGAATAAAATACCTCAGAAATGTACACCCTTGAACCCGACACGGATCAAACTTTCAGTATTACTTGAAGTTATGTTCAGTTATCCATTTAGACGAAAGAAGTGATTTTAAAAAACTCGAGACATTTTTTAAACTTTTGCCAAAACATATGCATGAGGGTCTACTGACTAAATTAATATTGAACACAATCTATGTACATTTAGAAATCAGTTCACTGTATCAAAATATGTTTCTTTGAAACATCCATGAGAAAAAAAAGCGTCACATAGTAAAATTGTCATCCAACCCTTACTCACCATTGGTAACCCAAACACTTATATATGTATATTTTATATCATTACTTCTTTTTATACATAAGGCTTTTATAACAGTGAAACTGTCTAACTAAACCCTAACATTCTCTCACTCTATTTCCCTTTATTAATTACCAGTTCTGATTTGAAAAACATCCAGTCATACAATCTATGATCGTTTGTAAATTTTATCATTCTTATCAACATTCAATAAATTTTCCAGTAAATAAAACATGTTACCATTTTTCATTTGTATAATCTACACAAAATCTAAACATTTATGAAATTGATATTTTGATTTCATGCCAAAAATTTCTCAAACAAACAAAAACACACAATGTAGTTTTTAAAATAATATCATTTACGTGTTCGATTAGTTTGTCCACTATTCCCAGTTGATCCTGAACCACAAGTTTTCATTAAAGATGTTGCATCTTCATCATCATCGTCATCATCAAGATATTCTTCATCATATTCTTCATCTTCATCATCTTCTTCATCTTCTATTTCTTCACCATCATCTTCACCTTCATCATCTTCATCATCAGCTTGGGTATAATCTCTGTCAATAATGAAATAAAATATATAACAAACTTTATATCATATCATTTATTTTTTGTTAACGGTTCATGCAACTGGTAGAGTTATAAATACTGATTAATATCATGTTTAGATTAGATAGATGGGATTGGGCTAGCAGTGTAAGCCAAGACTTGTATTTTGTACTGTTTGGCACTCGTTAGTTGACCACATCTACGACCCAGAGTTGATGTTCACTCCTGAGCTCGAACCCATAACAGTTTGCTTATAATATCATCGCGTTTTTCGCTTAGCTACTGAAACAGATAGCCACATACCTGTGCATCGGTTATGAGATTGGATGTAATTTTAAATAAATTGAATCATCTCGTTGTTGATATTTTTGGTTTAGACTTATTAGTCCATTCGATCAATATATTCTATATTAATTTATATGATAATGGCTGTATCAAAGCAATCCGCAAAAGATGTCCATAGGCCAATCAAGATTGATCAAATTTCAGTCAAAAATATCAATAATGCCATAATCCATGCCATTTCAAATTGAATTAAATATCATATTTGTTTAGTTCTTTATAATGCTGACTGAATTTTATCGATCAAGTTTCAATTTAACTACTGGTCCACATAACTCGACATCGTCTACATGTCTTAAAAAGTAAAATAACAACAAGTGGGTTCAGAAAGTATCAGATTACGAGTATATATTGCTGATGGTTGCCAAAAAGTGCATTGCCTACATCCAAGGTTTTCCTGTTGACCACCTTCATCTATCCAAAATCTAAGGTATATCACAGCATAAACTACCCATATTTCTATATACATGTTCAGTATTCCTATAGTTTCAATTCAATACACAATACACTGATCAAAATAAAACATCAATTCAGTTTCTAAATACAATGAAGATGAATAATGTTTCTGAGGTTAGTTTTTGTTAAAATAGACCATGTGAACTTCACCTTATCGTTTTTTAACAAGATTTTATTCTCTCCTCACTACCTAATGAACGCTTCAAACAAAGTGAATGAATGAATTCCCTCTTTTGTAATGATTTAACTTGGATCCCATTTTCATTGCTTTACACTGAAATAAGGTCACTTTTATATGTAAAATAAAAGGGAAAGTATTGAGGTCGTTAAGAATAGACAGCTTTATATTTCTTTGTTATAATCTCTTTCATTTCTTTTTCACCTCATTTTCTTTCTTTTACGTGAAACAAATATCTACTTGGTTGAATCATGCTTTTTATTTGTGGGTTAAAACAAAAGGCTCTCATTATTTAATAAGGAGAAACAAGCATAATGATAAACAATGCAAGTAGGTTCGAATGGTTTTTTTGTTTGACTTATTTCATATACATAAAAGTTTTGAATTATATACGTATATATAATCATAAGAATTAGATAAAATCTGATTGAATTTAGACTCAAAAAAAAAACATCTACAATTTTGTGGATCAGTTCATTACACATTAGTGACTTGTTAAATGATTCTCCTCTTTGAATTTTCAATTAAAAGCTTTAACCAGTACAACTGATAAGGTTAGAACTGCAAACAAGAGAAAATCAATCTGGCTTCAGACCTGGTCGTTGCTGCACCGACCACAAATTCACCATTCGGCAGGTTCTAGAACACAGGCATACTTATCGACGTCCTACAATGGTAGTCTTTCTTGAAGTAAACGCAGCATTTGACTCCGCAGACCGCCAGATTCTGTGGCAGTGTCTGTCATTGAAAGGCGTACCTCAGAAGTACATAAACCATATGAAGGCTCTTTACTCGAGAACTAATAGTTCAGTAAGAGCTTATGGCGAACTGTCATCTGATTTTGCAACCTCAAGTGATGTCTGTCAAGGATTTCCACTACCTTTATTTTTGTCTAGCTTCATCATAGACCTACTGATGGAAATAAAATTCACATCTACTGAATTTTCGGGCATTGTTCTCCTTCCAGGAGGTCCACTTATCGACTTGGAATTTGCAGATGACGTAGTCTTGTTAGGTGAAGACGCTGATAAAATGCAGAGTCTTTTAATAGCACTGAGCAACAATGCCAGGGTGTTTGGGGTGCGTTTCTCGTCCTCTAAATGCAAATTGTTGATTCAGGACTGGCCTGCGTCAACACCTGAACTAAGGATAGGGAGTGAAGTAGTCGAACGTGTTGACGACTTCACTTATCTGGGAAGACTGATCCGCCCTAATGGGTTGGTGTCTAACGAAATCTCAGCACGGATTCGAAAAGCTCGTTTGTCTTTTGATAACTTACGTCACCTATGGCGAAGGTGAGATATCTGTCCATCAATTAAGGGACGAGTATACTGCACGGGAGTTTGTTCTGTTTTACTTTACCGATATGAAACGTGGCCATTAAAAGAAGATACTTGTAAGCTACTAATATTTGACCACAGATGCCTTGGAAATATTGCTTCTGTGAATCCGGTGTTCGTCTTGCTGTGCTAATGATGTGTGGCAACTTGAATCGATGCATGTATGTGCCTGGTCCTACGTTGTAGCTGACTGACTGACTGATAAGGTTAGAAATAAACTTGTGAATTTGCTATGGTAATGATGAATTACTAACAATCTCTTTCTGAACAATAATATGCCTATGATTGATTAAAAATGTCAAGATGTTACATTTTTTAGGGCTCTGATCTCTTCGGGTTTCGAATTTTCTAGAACATGTTTAGAAATGATAACATGAACTATTCTCTTTGTTCTTTTAATGTTTTGTGATTTAGCACATTCTTTGATGAATTATGCATAAAGATTATAGGTTATATATTTTATTGGATTGTTTTTTAATATCGCTAAAGAGTTTTAGTGATTTTTATCTTCTTAGTTGTTTCACAGTTTATATTAGTACATAATAAAAAGCATATTGAAATATGCGTTTTTACAGTTGTCTTTATTCTGAAATGATCGACTTATATGAGAAACCAATGTGAGAATTATTCAGTATGACGTTAAGAATATGTCTTTGAATTGTCTCCTACAAGCTCTATTGATCTGCGATTACTCTTGCTACTGGAACTGCTGCTGTTTTGTTCTCTACTTTTCATGTTCCTTTTCTATCAATAAGAGTCCAACTGTTACTTCCTGATCCATATTACCGATATGTGACCATGTAAATAGCACACACCACAATACTATTCAGTTAGTCAGTCAGTAACGACGTACAACTTCGTATGTACGTACATCAGTTCGAGTTGCCATACCACATTAGAACAGGGATACAATTGTCGATTCAAATCCCATTGTGGTGGAGGTAGTAAAAGTATAAGCAGTAATCGGGAATATTATGGTTTGAAGATGTTATTAAAGGACTATAATCCAGTGAAATAAGTTTAGTAAGACAAAAAAAGGGCATGAGGAATTCAGAAGATTAGAATTTGAGAGAACACAAAGAGTAGATGCTCGTGTACCATTGCAAACAATTTTGAACCATGTCATTCAAGGTCTCTAACCATCGGTTGTCATCGTCTCGCAAATCGCAACCAGGTAGTCTACACCTGGCAACATGCCTCAGTCCACTTGTCAGTGACTTCATGGATTTGTGTCATGCTTTGGTCTGGGCGCCCCTAGCTCTTTTCCAACCTACACCTAACCATAATATCTGAGTGTTAATTAAATTGTAATTAGATCACGTAAAGAGTAGTGTCATTCTAATTTCTTTATGATGTCAGTAAATCCGTATCAAAAGTCTTTGTGTTTAAACTAGGCGTTGTTTGGATTCCGAGTTTTTCAGCACCAATCTCAAGTCAGTTAAACATTTCACAGACCTAACATCTTAGTAATGATGATGAGTATAAATTGTAAGATTATTCAATTTTTCTTCCATATAACTTGTAAGCAATTTATGTTAATATTACAATTTTTGTTTTCCAAACACTGACTAATGACAAAACTGTACTCGCATTTGTTAGTTAAATTAAAATATAACTAATAATGACTAGTAAAATGTAAGTTAACAGATTGATAGCAAACATCATACTCTTATTTGTTATGACCTAATATATTTAGTTGAATGATTTTCTCTAGAAATGTTTATGCAAATATAGTTTTCAGTATAGGGGTTGTAGAGATTATAAAGTTTTTGATTGAGATCATGAACCGATTGATGTTAGATCACCGTTGGAAACCTGGAAGTACTGGACGGTCAGGTTTCCAACGGTAATCTAACATCAATCGGTTTATGATCTCAATCAAAAATATAATTTTTCCTAAGATTTAATCATACATGTACCTTATATGTACTGAAGTAAGATGTATATTTAAAGTTATTCATTATTTATTATCTATAAGAGATTATAATTTTGAATTTGTTGCATTCTGAAGATCAATTTTCAAAAAGAAAAACCTCACATAAATATAAACAATTTTATGGGTTATATGATTTATCGTGTTCCGTCATACATTAATCAATCTTTAAAACATAATTGATGTATTATATTTAATAAGTGTAAAGAGAATATTCATTAATGTCATGATATCACTAAGCGATAAAACATTTATCATTGAAATGATTCTTAGTTAATGATTAATGACCATTCTATATTTTTTCTTTTTTTTGGTTTTGAAATCTACCATGTGATAGTATGATTACAAGCTGTAACTCAAAAATGGAGTAAAAGTGATTGAGTTAGTTTACTTTTAATACAAAAGGAAATGAATAAATCTAAGCCATTAAGAACGTTACTATCGTTATAAATTTCATAAGTTTCATAACCGTATAGAAGGTGGTTAAGATCTGTTGTGAATACAGTAAAGGTTTCCACAAGCATACATACACATTAGGATATTGACAGTTTGCTATACAAGATAATCTCAGAAAGTAAACCTTATTATTTACAAATGATTTATAATATGCATTTGAAAAAATAGTCCACCCTACATTTGGAATATATTATCGAAGGTCTTTGTTTCAATTACTGTCATAATCAAGCTTCTCTTTAAAAACTAACGACCGTTTCATGAAGGAGAAGATAAAAGTGTAAGTACTTGTACAAACAATAACGAGTCCTACCATTCATTGAATAGTGTTTACATTTCTATGAAGACTTATGTTACAATGAAATCATTGTGACTAATTTTCCTGTGATTAATAGACTGGGTTTGATCGATCTTGGAGATTAGTTACATTCGTCTTGTTGAAACTGAGAAAAGATTCTAGGAAAATAAACGTATTTCTACCTGTGAGGATCGTAGTTGTGTAGTGATGAAGAGTTGTATATTAGGGGGAAATAAAATTCTAATTTGTCCTGTTTTCTATATATTATCAGTTAAGGAGACAGTTATAATCACTACACATCCTGAAACAAATATCAGTTAACTGAATTTTTCATACTGAATCAACACAACGAGAATAATAAAGGTCTAGAAGTCGTTACATAACTAATGACAGTGAGAAAAGCTATACATTAAGAATATCATTCGAAAATACGAAGTGGAAAAGTATGGATGAAGAGATGCCTTAACTCAAGATCTAGAGTACTATAAATAGTAAGTTCAGCCACTTTATCGTCACTGATGTTGAACTATAAAACCCCTAAGTTACCAACCATCATTCAAGTTTATTGTATATACCTCAACTGGGTAGTCTGGATCTACTAACATGCTCAGCGTCAATAAATAACAAAAACCACCTTCAGAAAATACTAATCTTAACAACATATTTACTTATATAACTAAGGAAGTTTATGAATTATTGAAATCTAATGCACTGGATATGAACTTGGTAGGATCTAATCCATGTTTTTAGGCAGGCTCTAACTTGGATTCCTGAAGGGCAAACAAAAAAAGTAGGGCAAAAAAAACACATTGCACCGGGAATTGGAGGCATAAATCAAAAGAATGAACAGTCCTTGTGAATAACTGAAAAGGAGAGACCAGGAAAGAGTTGGGCTGAGCATCGTAATTAATGGCCTATGCTCCAGGAAGAGTGAAAGGTGAAAAAGGAAGTGAATAAATCCGTGTTTCCCCTCAGAATATATTCTTCGCAAGTGAATATAATTTAAAACAACTATAACTCCATGTAATTAAAGACTGCATTGAAATTATTGTATAAAATGTTAAAGTAATGTTTTAGTGAAATGAACATGAACTAAATAAGTAATTGAAATATATATCGGTACATACATAAACTTACGCTCTGACAAGTAACTCTGTTTCTTCAGAAACTTGACTAATAATAGCTTGTACTTCTTCAAATGTCTTACCGACTAAAGGAATTGAATTCCATTCAAGTATTTCATCACCTATATGAATAGATTTAAAATGAAACAAAATTCAATCTGTCTTGAATCATCTCTTCCATCAAGTAAATGAATAAATTCCAAACGAAAGTCTGATAAACAATTTTATGGATTATTCATTATTTTAAATGAAAAGCATATTATTGCTTGATATCAAATGATTTACCAGTATTATGAGAAGCATATTAATAAAAGAGTAGTAGTAGTATTGGTAGTAGTATTAGTAATAATAATAATAATAATAATAATAGTGGTATAAGTAGTAGTGTAGCGGACAGAACACGGGTGGGGACAATCGAATTGTATTTAGTACAAAATTACAGTCACTCGGTAAAATAGAAAAAACACTATAGTAAATCGTTAGCTTGCAAAATATTAATCCATCATATGAAACCGGACTGTTCCTGTTGCAATCATCAATCCATTGTCTCACATTTCATTGTTTATGTGCTTTCTTAAAAATTTCATTGTGTTCCCGCTCTTCCTTTCTTGATCTTCCCCCATCTTCTGTTGCCAGACATTACGTTTTAACTCGCATCATATGCTACTTATATCAATATAAGTAACACGCACCACAGTAGTAGTAGTAGTAGCAGTAGCAGTAGTAGTAGTAGTAGTAGTAGTAGTAGTAGTAGTAGTAGTAGTAGTAGTAGTATTAATAGTAGTAGTAGTATGTTAATGGTTCTTATTCATCTAACAGATACTATTTCAAAATTTATTTACAATCATTCAAAGATCAGAGATTTTTTAGATTCATAACTATTATCGATAATAATCAGAGAAGGGTTTTTGTGAACGTTATAGTAATTTAATAATTGACTTCATGGCTCAATTGAAGCTAAACCACCATGGAAAACCTGGAAGCACTAGATGGCCGTTTTGTCCTGGTATGGAACGACTCAGCAGTGCGCATCCACGACCCCGCCTCGCGAGGTTCGAACCCAGGACCTATGAGAACTAGATAATGAAAATAGTTTGATCTCATCCTAAGCTTACCCTTGTAATATTGTTTCATTATTCAGAGTGATGAATTCCATATTGTTTTTCACATTATTTTTCTTAATTACTTTTGTTCCCTCTCTTCTTTCATTAATCAAGTTGACACTCCTAATTTTTCATACATAAGTGCTCTTAACAAGTCTGTTTATGCGTGATCAGATTATTTGAAATATATTGCGCTAAATTATCATATCGTTGTGATAATCTTCATCTTTTCATTATACTGTACAAATTTATCAAAAAAGGATTAATCAAACTTCAATCCATAGGAATATTAAAACTGACTAACCCTGTCATCCAGTAAGAAAAATGATTAACAATTACAATGTCAGAGTTCAGGACATGAGAGAAAACAACCGAAGCAAATATATAGGAAAAGACCACATGGTTATGAATAGTAACCAACCGAATATCAAGTCAACAGAACAAGCAGTTGATCAATTGTGGAGAAATTCTAATAGCAAAATTATATTGTCAAGTAAGTGATAATAATGTTGTTCAGAAGAACAGTAAAAGCCTCACAATCAATCTATCTAGCTCAGAGCCCACCACACCGAAGTTCTCATACTGTTTTATAAATATTTTTATCATCTTATAATTCCCTGTTGTCTTCAATGTTTTTATGATTATTGTCAGTCAGTGATGTAATGCTACAACCGTGATGCTGAAACCCCATCACTTTTAACAAAAAAAAATCCATCATTATCTTGAACGAAGAGAAATATTCACTTATATTGCATTTCTTACTACATTCAGATCGTTTAATACGTTATGTAAACAAATAGACATGAATGCAAAATCTCGAGTAAAGTGAATATAGTATTTAAGTGATGGCAAGAACTAAAACAATTAAATTTTAAATTCAACTAGAGAGGTGAGCGAACAAGGATACAACAAAATGGATTAAGTGATAGTAAAATTATTGGGATCTAGAGGGTAATGCACAAAAGATGTATCTGTCACGTTTGGGCTACTTTTTGAGACTGAAGTTCCTGAAGTCGACTCTCAGCTGTGGTGTTGTGTATGTGCACTGTTGAGAAGTCGCATACTAAAATGAATCGGGTTTTTAGTTCTCCCAGGCTTTCGGTAGTTATGTGACATGAATCTGTTAGTGATTTCAATGAAATATAACAATCTCCACAAACCCATAATGACAATACAATCAAAAGTTTCATGGTTCGTAGATGAACCATTTTAAGATAATATAGATCAGTGTTCTTACATGAAATGTTGAAAAAAATCAGAATTTCCTTCTAGCTTTAGTTGTGCAATTTGGCAAAGAGTATTTCCTAGACAAAACAGATCATGCCACTAGATTATATTTTAAAATCTTGTTTCAGTATGTACCTGTCATAGCTTACCCATTCTTTTCACACACAAAATAAAACGGAAAATCTTTCTACGTTTTAGCTGTTCCATTAGATTGTACGACTATTTTTTTTTCTAACATGACTGACTGTATCGATTAATAAATTTAGAAACGTCAAATAACTTAGTTTCTTTACCATGAATCTTGCATCTAACTGAGAAAAAAATTCATTTGCTGAAATGATTATAAATCCATACATTTATGGATTACAACAGAATGTATCTGTATCAAGAAATGATGAATATCTGTCGTTAAGCAGTGATTCACGAATAACTTTTGCATACCCTATAAAAAATATTTATTTCAACTTCATCACTTCCTCTTTTCACTTCTTCATGGTACTTTGTAACGAAAGTAGATAAATGAAGCAGATAAATAATTCTAAATTTATGTATGCAAATTACCTTCTTTTATCTCTCCATGAAGTTGATCAGCTGGACCAGATGGATAAATTTCTTCAACAAATGCTCCTAAATTACCATCTGATCTAATATGTCCACCAACTATGCGCATACCAATTCCGCACCCTGTGAAATGTTAAAAAGTAAGAAAAAAGAATATGTTCAACTGAAGCTGAACACTTTCTAATTAACTTCGTATTCCCATTTCAACACCAACCTGATCGAGCCTCAGCATCACTGTCACTACAATATCGGTACACTGGATTTTCTTTAAAAAACTCAATCCATTATACTATTTTTCCCAGCTTACTTAAGTTTTAAACAGTTACAATGCCCCCGCCCCATAGAACGATGCGAATAAACAAACAGAATTTTCTAGATTTTAGAATGCTTCATATACTTTGAATAGGTAAGATATACCATTTACCGTAAAATGACTCATTTATGTCATCTATTCACGCTATCATAATGTTACATTTTGTATGTTAATGACAAATATATTCTTGTTAAGCTTATTATTATCGCGAAGTGTATTCAACTAGTGATGTTCTACTGTCAAATCATTTCATTTATGCTTACATATTCAGAATACACTTCATTGCTTCATTTGAAATAGACTAGAAATCAAGTCTTTTCGAAAAGTGTCAAATTATCTTAGTATTATTCTCTATTAATTCATATCAACCTTATCATATTTATATGTTAATGTGTACATTATTCATAAAACACCTAAGCTAAAATAATATATTTAAATTATAAATTAATTTTGTCTAATTTTACTGCTTCTCACTAGAACTCCAGGAAATCTATCTTGAAGCCAGTCACTAGTGAGCATACATTGATTAATATCAGAAGTTTTTGTGAATATTTTAGTAGTTTCAATATTTGAGATCATGAGTCAATTGAAGCTAGACCACCGTGGAAAATCGGGAAGCACTAAACAGCGATTTCATTGTATTTTGGGACTCCTGAGCAGTGCGCATCAACAACCCCACCTCGCGAGACTCGAACCCAAGAACTATTGGTAACACGCGTTAACGCTTAACCTCTAGACCACTGAGCTGGCCGGCATTCAACGATGTTAATGTCTAGCTTCAATTAATCCACGAAATTGAGCGACACATCCATCATTATCTTCAATGAGTTACTATCCCACAATAAGACGAAACGGCCGTCCATTGCTTCCAGGTTTTCCATGGTGGTTTAGTTTCAATTGACATATGATCTCAACTATTAAAATATGGAATTGTTCAATTGTCTGTTTAATCTAATAAATATGAGAATACCAAATATAAACATGCTGAAATGTTAATAAAAGTAATCATAATGATCATAAATAGTAGATGCATTATCTTTTTCTCAAATGCACATCAATCAGTAATGAGGTTCATTGATCAACAGTTCTATAGTCGTTTGTACGTTTCATATATATTATCTCTTTCCGACGTTTTATAACATTGAATTATACAGTGAATGAGAATTGATCCATATTAATTATCCATTTCCTGTTGAATTCAAATAAACGACCAAAAGCATACTGACCCAGTAATCTGCAATCTAGTTTACATGAATAAAACACTAAAAATAAGTGAACTGAGATTTATAGCTCAATCGGATTATTTAGGTGGAATTTTGTTCTCTGAGCTGGATGGTTTGTTCGTGGAGCTCTTATTGATCTTCTGAACATCATTAGCACAAACTTCAGGTAGAAGTGAAGTGTTCGAATTTCGTCACATATGACTCACAGCTTGTCCTGTAGACGTCGATCTTAATTGGTTATTGTTGACCTTTAATTCGTCATTGTCTACTTCTTTATTATGATTGTATCTCCCTTTGATTTTATTTTTGGTCCTATGTTTGTCCTGACATGAGTGCCAAACTTCGAAAAATTCTTTGGTGTTTTTAGAATCGCCTCTGTCCAATATCTCAACATTTTCTCAGTTGAATGTGTGTCCACAGTTGTCCACATGCATTGCTGTATCATCGAGAATATGTTATGGCGTTGCAAATTGATGCATGTGGACAACTGTGGACACACATTCAACTAAGAAAATGTTGAGATATTGGATAGAGGGAATACCAAAAGCACCAAGCAATTCTTAAAAGCTTGGCACTCAGATCAGAACAAACGTAGGACCAAGAATCACATCAATGGGAGACTCAATCTAAATAAAAAAAATAAACAATGGCAGGTTCAAGGTCAATAATAACCAATCAAGATCGAGTCCTATGTAGAGAAATTGGAACACTTCACTTCTACGTGAAGTTTGTGCAAATAATGTTGTTCAAAAGAACGATGAAAGCTCCACGACCAAGTTATTCAGCTCAGAGAACAAAACTCCACCTAAATTACAACTGTACATACGCTGTTGATTCCTCAAGGTATATCAATCAAGTTGAGATACTATAAAACGCAATTGACGAAAATCATGAACCGATCTAATTTAAACCACTATTGAAAACTTGACAACATCGGACGGCCGTCTAACGTAAATCAGTTCATGATTTTAATGAAATTCAACACTCTCTACAATCAAATACTGTTATTGTAAATAGGTAACAAACCTTTCCACGTTTGTTAAAAAAAACACAATCATAATCCAAGATAATACATAAAATCTATTTTGAGTATATTAGTAAAACGACGATTAACACATTCGTGAAACATATTAAGAAATCAAAGTCATTATGAATATGAAATTACAACGTGAAATGGATTTTAAGTGAAAATCTAAATGAGAATTACTCGACTATTTGAACGAAGAATATTCTTTTCGATAAATTCTCTTCAGGTTCTACAATTATATATCCAAATTAATAATCCGAAATTTACATTTTCGTGCTCGTGAACACCTCCCAGCGTGGCTAAACAAAGGTTTGATGAAGATAGTCAACTGCTTGATATTGACCCATTTAGTACAAAATGGTCATAGTGCCAGTATAAACCAATCTTTCTCAATTATTTATAAGGTCAGTAATTTTATGCTAAAACTTGTCAGACTTAAAGTCCTTTGAACGGCTGAAGCAGTAGCCATCCGGATGAAAAAACCGGAGCTGTGTACGAAAGAAATATGTTCAACCATCCCTTCAACCCTGGCTAACATCAAGACCAATTAATCAAGTTATCTTAGCTACTGAATGACCTAATTTAACTACGACCTTTCGTAGTCAATTTTAATTGTCTCTGTTATCCTTATTCACAAATCTTTATTATTATTATTATTATTATTATTATTATCACTGGTTAAACATTATTATTAATCTCCCCTATACATGATTCATCCACTTCGCATTTATCCCTCCTTATTACGTCTTACTAATTTTTCATACAATATAGTCTTCCATTAAACATTTGATCGAATTGTAATTTCACTATTATTGCTCTCTCACCCTATACGATCCATATTTATTCTGATCATGGATCTTAAATTTCACTTAACATATACGCAGACTCAAGTTAACATTCTATATGGATGCCGGCTCAGTAGTCCAGTAGGTTGAGCGTTCGCCCGCGAGACCGAAGGCCCTGGGTTCGAATCCCGATGGCGGGATCGTAAATGTGCACTGCTGAGAAGTCCCACAATAGGACGAAACGGCCGTCCAGTGCTTCCAGGTTTTCAATAGTGGTCTAGCTTCAACTGACTCATGATTTAAAAACCTGTGATAAATTTAAGGTCAACAAGAACCAATCAACATCGAGGTGCACAGAACAAGCTGTGAAACACATATGGAGAAAGTCGAACACTTCACTTCTATTTGAAGTTTGTGCTGATGATGTCGTTCAGAAGAACGATGAAAGCTCCACGACCAAACCATCCAGCTCAGAGAACAAAACTCCACCAAAAACTGTATTTTGTTTAACGATCCTAATTTGCAATGGTTAAGATCATGAGTCAGTTGAAGCTAGACCACCATGGAAAAACTGGAAGCACTGAACGGCCGTTTCGTCCTATTGTGGGACTCCTCAGCAGTGCGCATCTACGACCTCGCCCCTTGCGAGATTCGAATCCTAAATTCACATACTTTAAACGATGTACTTTGCCCTTAACTTGGCCATTTTTCTCGGATTATTAATTTCGATACATGAATTGTAGAACCTGAAGAGAATTTCTCAAAAAGAATATTCTTCGTTCAAATATTAGTTTTCTAATATGATGAGGATCTTTAAATGATAATTACTCGATCTATTTAATAATAAATAACAATTTGTATTCAAAACTAAAATAACTTAATCGTAATAACATTTACCTTTTTGATGTCTGTCCTTAGATTCACGCATTAATAAAAGTCGTTTGGTTGGAAAATCATATGTACATTTTGTAGGTTGTATTATTGATTTAGACTTCTGTAATTAAAGTAAATTATAAAGTTTCCTATTTTAAATATTGAAAATAAACATTCAGTTACATACATCAATTCATTTCTACAAATTATAAAATCTAATATTTATCAATAAAAATCAAAATAGTCTGTATAAAGTTGTTAAGTGAATCTTTTGAACAAACATTATATAATAGGCAATGATGGATAGTGGCTAGCAGTGGAATCCAGGATGCGCGTTTCGTTCTATTTGGGACTCATTGGGAAAATACAAACCAAATAATACTAAGTGAATTTAAATTCACCTCATTGCACAAGCAAGTGGCTATCAGGACTTAGTAGCTGAGTGGATAATGCAATGGCGTTTGAAGCGAATAGTACTGGGTTCGAGTCCCAGCGTGAACATCAACTTTGAGATGCAGGTACATCCAGCTGACGGATTGCAAAGCGCGAGTCCTGGAATCCACTGCTAGCCACTATCCATCATTGCTTACAAAGAATTTTTGAATTAAGGCATTATCGAGGCATACGCACAGTATTCACATCTGCCAAAACAGACTGATCAATTTCAGTCTTAAACCTCAATGGGAAGATACAAGTTAAACAATACCAAGTGCATTATATGATAGGTTCATCAAACTACAAAAACTTGTATGCTTCTAACCTTTGACACCCGAAATCATATGTATGAATATATATATATATATATATATATATATATATATATATATATATATATATATATATATATATATATATATATATATATATATATATATATATATATATATATATATATATATATATAACTTATTCTAGCTTCTGGACAGGCTAATTTACTCATTCTTCTTGAGCTACATTTCGACCTTGTTTATTATTTACTTATCAACCTTGAATGCTTTTATGTAAGCATATGTGTGTTTATTTCCTATCTTTCTCATTATATATTTGTAGCTTATTTTTGTGTGACTATAAATATCGATTAACGCTTGGTTAAATGAAGTTGGCTCACACGCCTTCTCCACCGTGCGTCATTTCTCTCTGCTCACTTTTCTTCATTTCTTTCTCTTCGTCCCTCAGATTGCCTGTCCAGACAAGTGATGGTACAAAATATATGTACTCAAAACCCACTCTCATATTTGACTTATTCACTGACGCCATTTAGGTCGATAATTTTATACGAGAATATTCAGGATGTATATTTCAACTATCAAACATACGATATAACTGGAGATATCAGGTACTAAAGTTAGGAAACCATCGATAACATCGTCCGATTTAATTGATGTTAAAATGAAGGGCACCGGTAATACAGTTCATCTGTGTAGTTTGAATAAGACAAACTTCCACACTATTTTATAATGCAGCATAACATATACTTCAATGACAATAACTTCACTAATTATTCCGTTCCTAATAAATATTGGTATATAATGCTTGAATTTTCAGAAGCCTGAATGATCCCATAAATCGAATTTCTTCATTCATACTAATTCAAATCATTTGTAGTGTTGAATGTCCATATCTACACTAAATCTACCATAACTAATCAACCTTAATTTATAATAGATTCGGATATACTTTCATAGTAAATTAGGACAAACATATTTATCGATGCAAAGTGATTATTCAAAATTTGATATTGTAGATTTGTTGAATGTCAATTCTTTTATATTTGTGCAACTTGGAAATATCGTACAGATGAAAAGTAGAGTTGTTTATTAATTCACCTTCCAGATATCTCATTTACTTAAATATTTCTTTTTTACATCTAGAATGTTATAAAGAGATATTAAACTAATTTGTTTTGATATTTAATACATATGATCTGTAAAACTTCATTTCACAGTGAATTTATTTATTCTTATGTAGATCAGAATTGTATAACTACAATAACAACAACAACTGCTACTACTATTACTATTACTACTTGATAAGTCCATTGGGGTTTCCGCGCGTGGGTTCAAATTCCATCTACGTCGTCACTGATAAGTCTTGTTAATTTGAACGCTTTATTCTGTTCCTAAGCTATTCTTCTAACCCGCAATCTAGAACTACGCAGCGACCTGAACTCGAGAGAAAAGACGCAAAATAAGCGAAAAGCACTTTACTCCAAAGGTTCATTTTTGTGCAGAAAAACACGGTTATTTATAGATGTTAACATTTGTTAAATCAGCATCATATTTTGTCCAATCCGCTAAAAGAAATATTATGCTACTGACTAATATTACCATGCCACGTTGATATTTCTAGAAAGCTCCATCATGCTCTGATTGGCTAGGACTCTTCGGTTTCTGTAGAACCTCTGGAGGCTTCGTTTCAGTTCTCGGAAAGCCGACTTAACACTACTACTACCACATGTTAATTAATAAGTGATTTCTCATATTTGCTAGTTTTGTTTACTTTTCAATTTAGTACCTGAGAGTGGCTAAAGGGCATTTCGTATTATCCGCAATTATTTGATGCTGCTTCAATACCTTAACTAAAATCAATTGAGATAAATAGAAGCCAACAAAGTATTATTTTTTAACTCAAAAAGGAAATTCGGCAAATGTTTTCTGCCAAATAATCTTTATGTGTTACAATGCATATGTCAATCATAATCAGATTGAAATCAAACAAATGGAAGAAGCTAAATATTTGGTCACTCAGAGGCGAAGGATACGATGCAGAACAATTTGGGAAGAAAACATATAAAATAACCGAAGATTTCTAGTTTAACATATATTGAATCAGTTCGTTGATGCATTGACTATTGATCACAATTGTATAGAGTAGTAAATGTAGCATGACGTATTAAATCAAAATATCAGGTTCTGTAAGTGACATAACCCTAAATGTATTATCATAATGTCGAAAATCTCAATTTTTATATTTATCATAACATCTTATTACTATATGTATGTTCACTTCAACTTCAATTCACATTCACTCCTGCTTAAATTTTGGTGCCCAAATACTGATGAATCTTTTGCTAGAGACAATTGTCATTATTTAAATCTTTTTATCCAGTGCTTTAAATAAGTTTCTGTAACACCTTTCATCACTAACTCTGCGTAAACCCTAGTATACTGAAAGCTAGTTTAATTACAATAATATATTGATCTAACAGGGTTCTTGGTTAAAGCCAGGATAGCGTCTAGTCATTCTGAAAACGAATGTAAAATTATCTTCTTATAGAGTATAATTATTATTGTATGAGACTTGACAATAGTCAAGGCAATCAATTAAATAAATGAATTCACTATCTTCAGTCCCATTTCTAAAACGTTTACTTAAACTCTTAACTAATCTCTTTTCTTATAGAATAGGTGGTTAGGATGAGAATCCAGAACGATTGTTTAGTCTTGTTTGAGACTTGTCAACTAGATGTACCTAAAACAATCGTTATTCTGTGACAATCACCACTAGATTCATATATCCTACTTAAAATTCAATTGAAATATAAACATTGCGATAATCCAAAGTATTACAAATTCAATTATAATCCTTTTTTTTAATAGTTCACAGTTAATAAACTAATATTATGCTAAGGATTAGATACATAGTTTATTAGAATTTATAATATATGAGCGAATGTTGTTATCACAAAGACACAGACATACACTCACTATGGTATGGAATAAAAAAAACAAGAATATTATCAGTACTTCTATTCATATTGTTTTGATAATTATCTTAATTACTATTTCTTATTAGTATTGTTAATAGTATCAAGGACTTTACTGATATTAAATGTAGGTATAACTTACGTTATTATTTAATGGATTGAATGAAGGCCATGTAGTATTGTTGTCTATCCATGAATTCGGATTTTTCGTGTTATCTATGAAAATAAATATGATAACAGTAGAAATGTTTACTAAATTACGGATATATATGGCAATTTCAGTGACATAGTTAGTCAAGATAATAGTAAAAACAACTTTAATTTGTCCCATTTTATTCGCTTATTATACTTAAGGAAAGTTATCACCTACATTGTTAATTTATCATAAAAATATAAAAATGTTATAACTACTTACAATAGTTAGGTAGTATCTTTGGATTGACGAGAAAAAATAGTTTAATTGTTGTAACTCGAGTGCTGGCATATAATGTTATTTAGACCTCAGAGTAACTATACTAATCTAGTCAACTCCTCCTGAAGACCTGCTAGGGTTACTACAGGTCCCGAGCCCGAGTAAAGTAGGAAGGTTAGGTATGTGGTTAGCAGCCATGTCTAATAAAAAAAATTGTTGCTAGAAAAGAGCTATTCATGTTTCGGAGAGAATAAAATTTATGAACCAACCAATCAGATTTAGGATAATAGGTATTAAATTTTGGCGTGAAATTCACTCACCCATTCTTCTAAATAACGTCTTGGCATTTTAGCTAATGTCAGTTCGCGAGGAAAACCGTAAATCTAAATCCTAATCCTTACCATCAACTATAAATGATTGTCTTTATTCTTCAGAACGTTTGATAAGCTTCATTTAACCCTATTATGTAGGTAGACACTGTCAAGGTCACTTTGACGTCGCTCGAAAATCGTCCATAAATTATAGTTTCACTAATGTTTCTTTTTTTTTAAGTATTTGAATGACACTATGAACAGTAACAATTTGAACCACGTTAAATTGATCATTATAAAATCACTTCATTTAATTTCTAGTTGTGTTCTGTTTTGTCACCTACTTTGAGATGAGCTCTGAAAGTTCAAGTAAGTTGTGATCTGTTAAGTTCAGCCAATATGTTGAGACTAAAAACACAGTTGTTAAAAGTGGTATTCGACACTCATCGTGATGCATCGTTTATTGGCTGGAGTTAAAGTACAGGATGCTAATCCAATGATTTAATTGTTAAAAAAACTCTTGCAGCCGAACCTGACGAGTTCGATCTTTAGACACGTTATGTCTGTACACTGTTGAGGAATCAGATGTTTAGACAAAATACCTACACGATGCTCGCCAGTTTTCTGTGTTACTCAAACTAGAGTCGGTGATAAATAATACTCAAAAATAAATGAGTTTGTGTTTTACCTATTTTCGTAACAATTACACCCTAATATTAAATATTCTCTCCATCAAGTCGGAAGAATTACCGGAACTGTACGATACAGTAGAGTTGGTGAACATTGAAAAGGTTGAGGTTTAGTTTTCAGCTATATATTGTATGAGAGCTAATATCATTGTATCGTTACTAGAAATAAAATAGCTGGATAGTTTCTGTTCATATAATCCAATTATTGAAAATTGAATAAATTGGCTATTAAGTCAGTTGATTCGCTACAATGTGAATAATTTAAAATCAGAAGGGGCTTGTGGAGATTTTGGGAATTTTCACAGATTGAAATCATGAGTCAGTTGAAGCTAGACCACCATGGAAAACCTGGAAGCACTGGACAGCCATTTCGTCCTAGTATGGGACTCCCCAGCAGTGCGCACCCACGATCCCTCACACTGCGGGATTCGAACCCAGGACCTACTGGCTTCGCGCGCGAGCACTTAACCATCAGACCACTGAGCCGGCATCCAATGGTGTTAATGTCTAACTCCAACCAATCCACGAAGTTGCGCCACCGTATACCATTGTCTTCAGTGAGCTGATATCTCACAACAGGTTTTCCATGGTGGTCTAGCTTCAACTGACTCATGATTTCAATCTGTGAAAATAATTTAAAAGTCACAGCTTATCTGCTAACAAACTGTTTAACGTTACCTCATAATATATATCGATAAGAAATTCTAAGATCTCTTTTAGAAAAAGTGTTTCGTATGAAGCTGTCCATACTAACTTATCCTATTGACCACAGTTATTTTAATAAAATTAATTTGAACAAATCTGAACGAATAAGCAATAAAAATAATGTAGTTTCTAAATGAATGATCAAGCATTGTCTAGTACAACTACCTATTAAAGTGAATAAAGAAAAGCATAAGAGACTTAAACATTTCTCTTCGTATAGTAAAACATTCAAACACTATGAATTAATAAGGTTAGGAATAAAATTTTTGAAATAAACTGTAAGAATGCAAGAGATAAATTACAAATAAATGAATTTCAGTAGTTGAGATCATGAGTGAATTGAAGCTAGATCACCATGGAAAACCTGGTAGTACTTAATGGCCTTTTCGTCCTATTGTGGGACTCTTCAGTAGTGTCCATAAATGAATGTTAAGTCATAATTATATTCATACTATGAAGAAAGATAATTATATTTTATTTTATCCATAAATGAAATTTGACTATTGAAGCTCCATTAAATGATTTCAATATCTAATTCCTTGTAATAACCCATGTTATATCTGCTGTGTCTTCAAGTCCGGCTAGTTATCACGTAATTTATTCGCCAATCAAGATACGACTTATTCAATCTTGTACTCTACTAAACCAATGACGTTCATCCAGTCTGACCGGCCTAGCGTCCTATTGATCCGTTGCTCACCTAGTCCGTCCAGCTGAGTTCAGAATGTCAATAACAGCTTTCACTATGCAAATCATTTATTTCAGACATACTGTGTTTATATATCAACCAAACAGACCTCAATGCATCATAAAATAAGAAATAACATTTATACACAATAAACCCAAAAAGTGGCTGTGAACGTGGAAGACAATAATTAATTGACCGAGTATAATTTAAGAACAGTAAATCGTACAATAATAATCTATAGATCAAAATGAAGCTTATAATAAGATGCATATAAATATACACAATCTAATTACTAAATAGTTATCCCATAAGAATATATGAATAATATTAGTCCACTAATAGGTCTCATCAGTTACTCGTAATTTAATCTTCGCTAAGATATAACAATATCATCAAAGAATTTCCAAAGAAATAATTACTTTGTAGATATCAATTTTTTATTGAGCAAAATGGTTCCTTATGTAATAGTCAAACACTTAATTCAACGAAATATATATTATCTTATAGGATACTGTAACTAATTATTTTGTAATGTATTAGAAAAACTAATTTCATTCATTATTAATCTTTCATAGAGAATGTATACAACAAATCAATAATGATGAATAACTTCCGTTATATAACTATTACATTCAAAAGACCATTATTTATTCAATGGAATGTTTATCACAATTGACTTCCGTAATATAGTTAGTTAATCGATTCGATTCAAAGCAATAAAACAATAGAAAACTGAAAAAAAGACGAAAAGAGTTTGTTTTTTTTCTAAGGAGGAGAAACAAAACAGTGGAATAATTAACTGAACTACACACAGAACTACAAATAGTTAGGTATACTTACAATGAGGGGAAAATTCTAAGGGAATATTATATATATATATATATATATATATATATATATATATATATATATATATATATATATATATATATATATATATATAACGAGAGTTAATATACAATGGTGATAGTAAGCTGCTTCTTGAAAGTAACTGCCAGTGGATTTTGTCAAGTTTTTGACTTTAGTTAGGGTGGATGGCTATATATATAAAGAATAATGTATTTGTACGCTATCTAGGACAAATTGATAATGAAAAAATATATACAGTAAATGATATTGAGTACCATCATGTCATTTTGAAATAAAAAGGCAAAACAAATAATTTTTGTGCGTTTAAAGATCCTCATCATATTAAAAGACTAATATTTGAGCCCTATACTAGATGACATTGAAACTGATCGATATATGAATGACACGCTCATCCTCTGTAAAAAAAATATATAGCAGCAAGAGGTTCTTAGGCAGTTTAATGAAATACATCAGTCAGTCAGTCAGTCAGTCAGAAACAACGTAGAACTTCGTACGTACGTACATTAGTTCGAGTTGCCACACCACCTTAACACAGAGATGCAGTTGTCGATCCAAATCCCGTAGTGGTAGAGGTAGCAAGAGTGTAAGCAGTGTTCGGGAAGATTAGGGTTTGGAGATGTTATTTAAATAGTATAATTCAGTGAAATAAATTTGGAAAGAGGAAAAAAGGGACATGAAGAATTCAGAAGATTAGAATTTTTGAGAACACAAAGAGTGGATGCACCTGCGCCATTGCGAACGATTTTGAGCCATGTCATTCAGGGTCTCTAACCATCGGTTGTTATCATCTCGCGGTCCCCAACCAGGTAGTCTACACCTATCAACATGAAATACATCGAGCCATTGAGTTTATATTTGAAGAAGAGAATGATGGTAGAATAGACATTTTGGACGTTATCTTAACTATAAGAGTGAATGGATTAATGAAAAAGTAATTTAAACAGAAAAAATACATGAACTGGGCAGTATACGCATTTTCTTAGCTTTGTACCTCTACAGTACAAACAAAACCTAATCAATTAGTTACCGAATACGCACTATATATTCGACGGATATAGTTGAAAAAGACCTAAACACTATGTGTAATACTTTTAGGGAGAATGGTTACCCTAGAAAGTTTACGATTAAATATATGATCATGAAGGTGAGAATAGGCGAAATACAAACGGTGAATAAAAAATCATTGTTCATACACCTACAATGCAGAGGGGATGCGGCTAGAGAAATATTAAATCAGAGATTACGCAGAAAACTACAAAATTCTTTCGACGTCGGAGAACTACTATTGGTGTTTTCCGCGCGTCAAACGGTGACACCAAGGCTAAAAGTTAAATTAACTAGAATGACCACCTCATTTTGTATTTATCAGTTCGACTACTCCTGTGGAGCAAGTTATATTGGCCTAAGTTTTAGGAATTTACACTTTCGTGCTCGCGAACACCCAGCCTAGCTAGACAAAAGTCTGGTGAAGAAAGTGAACAGATCGATATTGGCACATTTAGTGCAAACTGGTCACAGTGCCAGTATAAACCAGTAATTTTTCTGTAAAAGCTTGTCAGATTTAAAGTCCTTCAAACTTTTGAAGCGGTAGCCACCGGGTGAAGAAACCTGAGTTCTGTTTACAAAAGAAATATCTTCCCATTCATCCCACCTTATTATGTTTTACTAATATTTTTTTACACAATATAATCTTCCATTAAACATTTGATCGAATTATAATTGCACTATTATTTCTCTCACTCTATCTAACCCATATGTATTCGGATCATGGATTTTAAATTTCTACTAAACATATACGGGAATTCAAGTTAACATTCTATCTGAATCATATCATCATTAACAATTTTATTTTAGTTTGTTTGACAATGCTAAATTCACTTGCTTTAACTGAGATCATGAACCGATTGATGTTAGACCACCACAGAAAACCTGGAAGCACTGATCGACCGTTTTGTCTCATTGTGGGACTCCTCAGCACTGCGCTTTAAACGATGCATTTTACCCTTAACCTGACCATTTTTTTGGGATTATTAATTTGGATATATATATATTGTAGAACCTGAAGAGAATTAATCGAAAAGAGTATTCTTTGTTCAAATATTAGTCTTTATGTGTTATCAATAAATACTGAAGAGGATCATTTTAGCTTGATCAGGTAAAAAATGTAAATATTTGATAAATGAAATAAATGTTTGGTAGAGTATTTGTTTACTTAGGTATCATGGTAAATTGATTCTCTAAAATATTCTAGTAGTTAGAAAAAATTAACAATACTACTATTCATTGTAAACAGTATAAACTGGTCAAATCCAGTTGATTGTAAGCCATACCATTAAGTCTATGAATAAAACATAAGATTTATCACCCCAACGTTCTATGAGATAATAAAATTTCATTAAAACTAAAGGTTAACTAATGTAGTTTAAAACTATTAGCTATTACTTTAATATTTTAATGAACAAAAAGATAATCTATACTGATAGAAAGCACCTAACGAGTTACTGAAAACTACAGTCTATTGATGAACTACTTAGTACTAAATTAGGCTTATTTATCTATGCATATTATCAGCCTTAAATGAGACTTTTAGACTGTGTTTTTTTGAGCATAATCTGGTGCGATATCTATTAGTAGTTAAAAAAAAGAATTCGATCAGCACTAGGAAAGATTTGACAAACATAATACTGGTCACTAATCATTGATCAATCAGTTGTCTAATAGAAGGTTCGTTGCCACCCAAATAGCTAAATCATAACATTTCTAAGTGTGTAGCTGGATGACATTGGGTTGAACTCACTGGATAGCATCAATTCCTTGAAGATTACAGGTACACCTTGCTGGCAAGCGTCTTATAACACAAAATTGAACCCCAGAGTTTGTAGGTGACTATCCTCAACCACTGGGCATCTCGTTGTAATCCACACGATATTGAATCATTTAAACTTGATTGATGTAGTTTGATCAGTAGTAACAAGTTAAATGAACATATCATCTATCACTGTTCTGTGATTAATCAATTTTAATTGACAGACGAAATTTACCGATTTCAAAGAGAAGATATAACAAATTATTTGTACCTTATTCATATATGAAGTTTCACAATCCATTGATCACTGGGTGGTGATCATTGTCATGTGTGTCAAGTCCTTATTTAGTGTAGATCGAATGCTATCGACCATGTTGCAATGTGGCCACCATTCTAGGTGACTCGACACTGTGGTTGGAGGTAGTCGACATGAAACCCTGAACCCGGGTTTCTTGCTACTCTGCACTCGTCAGCAAGGTGTACCTGAAATCTGTATTTGAGTTAAAATAAACAATTTTATTGATTCATAAAACAGGAGAAAAATGTTTATGTTTATATTTTTGTTTCAAAATCGAACTAACTACATTGTTGTATTTCAATGAATTGACTTGATTTTTCTGTTTTTGTAAATATTTACTCTAACCTAACAATTATATTCATTTTTTTCGTAAATATACGATTACCATATTATCCAGGAACACAACAAGAAATTCACAATTAAACCATCCAGCTCAGAAAACAAATATACTCTATACTATCTCACGATTGTTTGAGTCAAGAATAATCAATATTTCTATACCTTTGAAGGTCATAATCTGTAAAAACGTTAAGGGGAATTTATTTTCAAACGGCTGTCAACATGAAGATGAAATATTCAGCTACATGTATCTGCATTCCACAGTTGATGTTCACTTTGGAACTCCAGCCCAGTACCGTTCGTTCCAAATGTCATCATGTCATCCACTTAGTTACTGAGTCCTGATAGCAACCTGCCTGTACAATTGGGTGAAGTTTAAATTCACTTGGTATTGTTTACTTGAATCTTCCTATTGATGTTTAGGGCTCCATTTGATCAATCTCTTATTGGCATATGTGCATACTGTGTATATTGCATCGATATTACCTTAAGTCACAAGTGTTATGAGCAGAGACAGATGGTGGCTAGCAGTTGGATCCAGGACGTACACAAGATGTACATATGCGAATAAGAAACTTATCAATCGCATTCTTAAATATCAATTGAAAAATTCAAACAAATAATACAAAAATTAGTTGAAATGTATACGTTTCGTTTAACACTGAAATTGATCAGTCTCTTATTGGCAAGTGTACATGCACCTAGTGAGTTCTAAATAGACGAAATACACGTCCTGGATCTCATTGCTATCCACTATCCATCTCTACTTATAATGTTTGTGAATTAAGGTAATATCGATGCAATATACACAGTATGCACATATGTCAATAAGAGATTGATCAATTGTATTCGTAAACATCAGTTGGATTCCTAAACATCAATAAGAAGATTTAAGTAAACAATACCATATGAACTTAATTTTATACATTAGCTAAAAAAACTGTGTAAATCAATTTATTTCACTTTATTACATTCATTATCATTGATTATCAAAATACTCGGTAGAACTTAAAGTAAATATAAGTTATAATACTTTCTTATTATTTATCTTTGAAGGGAATCCAATTAACTTAATACTGTACTATAGACAGTATTTCTTATTCATATTTTACTCAAACCATATTCATCTCCACATTCTTCAATGACTAAACATTCTTATAGCTTATTCACTTTTTATAGATAAACTGTGAAATTGTTAATACTGTAGAAAAGAGATTACCATCTTAATTACATTAATTTTCTTTATATATGAAATAATAGAACGAAACAACCGTCCAGAACTTTCAGATTATCTATAGTAGTCCAGATTCAATTGACTCATAATTTGTTATGTCCCCATAAGCATTATGAATGTTAACTTTTGAGATCCATTCATAGATCAATACTATACTTACACTCTTATCGTATAATTTTTAAATGACTAGAATATTCATGATCATGTTCTTCTTATCGTGAGCTTTATTTTGAATTATGAACTATTATTACACGATTTACCATTCTTGAATTATGCCCTGTCTATTAATCATTACCTCCCACATTCACAGCCACATTTGGTCAAATCTTGTACAAATGTTGTTTCATGTTTTATGGTACGATGTGGACTGTTTGATTGGTATATAAACTCTGTATGTTTGTAATAAATGATTCATATCGCAGAGGCTGAAATTGGTGTTCTAGACTTAATAGGCTGGGCTAAGCAGAAAGCAAGACCAATAAGAACTCTAGACTGCTCGCATGGGTTTTATGCATCACTGGTCTGATTGATAATTCACTACTCTCTAATTGGAGATATCGTTACGTTATACATGAACAGGGCACACAGGCTACAAGTTATAACATAACTATTGAAATAATAAATGATAATATAGATTATATTTACCTTTATAAGTTTTATAATTCCATTCATCATCACTTAATCCAAGCCAGTTATTAATTGTTTCACTAGGCATTTTATTATATTGTTGTTTATTAACTTCATCAACTGACTGATTATGTATATGTCTCAATGATTTTTGATAATAATTATCTACAGGATTTTTTATATTATCTTCATTTATTATTGATTGATTTGTTTGATGAATTGATGATGGTAACGATGATAATAATTGATTATTAAAAGGTATACTACTGCCACTACTAGTAGTAGTATTGATAGGGTTATTATTTATAACAGTATTATTTATTGAAGTTGTTGAATTCATCAAATCACATTTGTTTTGTTCATTTAATAATTTGCGTACTTGTTCAATTAGTATATCTATTGATTCAGGATTTATAGTGTCGACACATGAATTCTCATCAGGTAATAAAGTATTCATTCTTGAAATGTTATTATTACTGGGAATATCATTAATAATATGACTATTTGGTAAATAAGTAGAATTTATAGATGAAACATTATTTATGAAGTCAGTATTATTGTTATTTGAAATATAATTTCCAGTATTTGGATAAGTATTCATCATTTGTTCTGATGCAATTGTATTGTGTAATAGACTATTGATAATGTGTTCATTAGTCGGTTGAAATGTAATGACATTATTAATATTATCAGTAGTAGTATTATTATCTAACATCCCAGAACCAGCTACAGCTGTAGCTGCAATTGCTCCAGCAACAGCTGCTAAGGTTACTTGATTCAAATCAGCTGGCGCGAGATCTAGGCACATTGAATTTATTTGATTAATAAGTTCTGGATTATATGTAAGAGCTTGTATAAAATCAGGATTATTAATAAGCTCGATTAATGTGTTATTTGAAACTGGTATTTGTTCATTTAAACTGACTGATGTAGGCTGATTTATGATTTTATTATTCATTATATTGTCAGCTAAATTATTTGTTAAAGGTACTTGATTTGGCAATACTACTGGAGCGGTAGAATTCAAATTCGATGTAGTTAACATATTTGGTACGGACAGAAACTGTTGGTCAGTTGCAGATGTATAGTTTGTAGGTTCTACCATTGTTTCATCTATTTTACTTTGTTCAATATTTAACGGAAGTCTTGTTGAAGCTGTAGAAAATATTGGTGGCGCTAAAGTAGATGAAATAAGAGTTGTTGGTTGCATTTCTGATTCATCACAATATGAGTTTAAGTATCCTTGAAGATCAAAATTTGAAAAACTAGATGGCCAACTAGATTCATAAGGTTCATCAGTCATTAAACTTTTAAGTAAACGACGATGATGTTGTTCTACTTGTTGTCTTAATTGTCGAGTTGTAAAGTCATTTGAATCAGTTCGACGATCAAGTGAACCAAATTTATTACTGTCCAATTTTTCTAATTCATATTTGTTCAATATATTTTCTTGATAATCTAAATTAAATTCTGAATGTGCAGCAGCTAATCGAGCTCTTAATGTTTGCATAGAAGTAGAACCTGAAAATTTATTTAAATCATCTAAATGACTTAAATGACCAGTTGATTTAGATAAATTTCCAATTCTTCGAGTTAATTGATCAGATTTATTCCATTCATCAGATGAAACTTTTTGATAAACTGAATATTCTATACTAGATGGATCATAACGTTGATTAATCAATTTAGGTCGTGAATGTTTTATTCCTTTTCTATCATAATCATTTAAAGGTAAAGAAAAATATGAACCAACTTGTAAAAAATTATTATCATTTGACCATTTTGTTTGTGAATTATGAAATGTTTTATAAGTTGGTGTATAACTTCTTAAATTTCCTCTTTTTACTTTATGATTTATTTCATAATCTTGATCATTTTTATTAGATCGTGTTGTGTATATGGAATCTTTTGATTTATCCAATTCAGTTGATTTTATATTTTTATTAGAATCTTTTAAAATTCTTTGGTGTAAAACATTTTCAATATTATTTGATTTGAAATGTTTTGAACGACTTGAAATATGATGAATTAATCCTAATTTATTTCGACGATCATGATGTATAATTGATGCTAGACCAGTTTTATCTTTTTCACGAGGATGATGATGATAATGATGAGGATTAGGATGAGGTTGATAATGATGTGATGTACCAGCCTCTGAATATGATCTATATGATCGTGAATCATATGATGATTTCAAATTATTTTTTGAAATTGGTTTTAAATTTATTCGATAATTATCATCATCATCATCATTAAATGATTTAATAAATCTATCCGGATAAATATCATGTAATGATCTATGATTATATAAATGTTTTGAATAAATAATTGATGATGATGATGAATTAGGACTTTCATAAGTTCCAGGTAAATCATCTATTAAACTATTTACTTCATAACTATAAGTAGAAGAATGTGGTCTTCTTCTATAATTTGTAAAATATGAACCACGTGAACTAGACGAAGATGACATATATTCCGTATATAAATTATCGTAATAAATTATTTGTTCTGGTATTGATATTAATTTAGCTTCATCAATAATACGTTTTAATATATGTATATACCATTGTGAATGAATAGATTTCCATAAATGTTGATTAGCATAAAATTCTTTAAAATTTGATATTAATGATAATTTCGATTCATTGAATAGATTTTCATTAAAAATTGAATTGGTAATAGGTATATGAATAGAAAAATCACTATCATTTGATATAGTATCATAATTATCATCGATTAATTGATTATTTAATGATTGTGGACAAGATAATGATAGAAAATAATTTTTGATTGATGATTTACATAAATTTGTTTGATCTGATCGATGATATTGATTATTATTCTGATTATTATTATTATTGTCTTCAGTTAAAGCTAATAATGTATCAGTTGGATCAGGTTCATTAATAATTGGTGAATTTGATAAAATTAATTGTGCACGTTTTAATAATTTTTCATTAAAACAACAAAATGGTTTTATTAATGATAATGAATGATTAGTAGATTGTTGTTTTATTCCAATACAAGTTGGTGTATTAGTAATAGTATTAGTAGTATTATTAAATACCTTTTGAGTAGTATCAGAAAATGTTATCAAATTATTATTATTATTATTATTAAATGATTTTTCTATTGATTTTTCTATTGAATGATTTAATATTGATAATTGATCAGTTTCATAATGTTCAATGATTGTTTTATTCGAATCATTTTCTAATTCAATATTCAATGTATTCAATATTAATGATGAATTATTAGAATAAGATTGATCAATAGAATAATTTAAAGAATCATTATTCTCATTGAAAAAAGTAGTTAGAATATTTTTATTTGACTTTCTATTCGATTTTTTCAATTCTTCTTTATGTTTATTGGTTAATTCTAAATGACTGCCTTCCTTATTCAAATGAATCAATGGATAATATTGTTTATTGTTCATATATGTATGAGTTGAATTATATTGAGTTAGTTGTTGTTCATATGGATAATAAGGATAGAGAATTTCATTTATAATACTATTCTTCTCATCTATATTATTTGGACTTTTATTAGAGGCAGAATATGAATTATCCAATGATAGTGGAGAATTTATTGTTGGGATCACGTGTTCATAGAATTCCAATATGTCTGAATGAGATAAGTCTTCTTTTGTATTCTCAAATGTTTCTTCTTTTTGTTTAGAATTATCTATTAGTTTATCAATAGATAATGATGTATATGGAAATTGATTAGTTTTATATTTCATTTTCATATTTTGATAAGAGATCATATTATGATTACTTTCATTTGATTTATAAGTAGTAGTTAGAGTTGGAGTATCTGAAACTACTAAATGATCGATTTTTTCATCAGTTCTAACATTATTTTCATATAGATTTCCATAATTATAAGGTTGAGGAGTAAGATTTTCTTCAGCAACGATTTGAGTTTCTAATTGAGTAGAGATTCTTTCAAGATCATGCAATTCTGTATCATCTTCAATATGTGTTGTATACAGTTTTGTAGTGAAATGGTTTGATGAAGTATTATCGTGTTTTTCATTATCTTCAGTTATCTGTACGATATAAAACAATAGTGTAAGATATAGCATTGTACAATTGTCAATAAAAATAGTTCACAATTTTGAATTAGTTTAACAGCTCTCATCAAGAACTGGTAAAATATCTTACTTGTTTTCCTCATCAGATATGAATAGATTGTATGGCTTTATTCTACTATGTTTATCTCGTGAAATAAAAAAATCATCAATATGGAATAATCTATTTTAATGGAGTTTCGTTCTCTGAACTGGATGGTTTGGTCGTGGAGCATTCATCGTCCTTCGGAACGACATCATCAGTACAAACTTCAGATGGAATAACCTAATGACATTGAACTATAATAAACTTACGATTATTCTCTTAAGAGCGTGTTTATCTAGTTCATTCAATGTAATAAGAGATTGAAGACTTTCCAAAGAACAAGGCGAATGAAATTACCGTAATGGTTAAAATAAGACATATTACTTATTAATAAAGTTATGCAGTTCTATGGTAAAGTATCAAAAAACGTATGGATATTTTCATTCTGGTGGTTGAGCGCTAAATATAAATAACTGGTGGGATCGATTGATTTCAATAGAAACAAGCGTTTACGAGGTTTACATACACACTATTCACATATATTATGTGGTTGGAAGCAATCAATATGAAACACGACTCATAGGTTTCACCGTAGTTGGTACTCTTAAGTAAGACGTACTTGTATTATTAGGGAGATTTATGTACCCACTGCTAAATAGTGCCATTGAGCATGAAATTTAGGCCTAGGGTTTGTTACCAGCTTCATCAAATCAAATAATACCTCAATATAGTACACACTATCTCAAGTCATTTAGATTAATGTTCATATTGGTAGTTGATCAGTTAAATTTGGTCAGCACAATAGATCTAGATAAACATAACATTGGTAACTACTAATTGAACACTCAACCACTACTATTTACTTAACTAAACATATTTCATGATTTATCATTGTATATCTATTTGTTATAAATTACCCTGTTTCCCCTCTGATTCACCTCAACAGTTACCAGTTACCTGTGTTGAACTGAGAAAATCAAAGACATGAAATAAAATACCTTGATGTTAACTTTCCTATATGTGAAAATACTAAGATAAATATATCTTGGTTTTGAGTCATGAAAACTACTGATAATCGAGAAACTTTCTATTCAATCAACACCACGTTTAATAGTAAGAAAAGTGAACAAAACAGTTTGGATAGTTCAAATGTATATTTTCCAACATTTGTCATTCATCTCCGGGCTGTACCTCTAATTCCGTTGGAAAACTCATACTGCATCTGACTTTTTTTATCATTACAACTCAATTCCTTAGCCATTGAAATTATTACTGAACTAAGATGGAAAAATGCTTTTATTATGCAAAAACAAAATTATGCACCAGTTCTCGAATAATACAAACAAACCAGTTTCCATTTACATTATCTTGATCAATTTACCACTCGGGTTCAAAAAGAATTTTTAACAAAAATGAAAGAAAGTTATGAGAAACGAAAAATAAATTATCAGTAATAGGGTTGTGGAGATTAATAGTATTTTGATTGAGATCATGAATCGATTGTTGTTAGACTACCATTGAAAACCTGGAAGCACTGGACATCTATTTCATCCTATTGTGCGACTCAGCAGTGTGCATCCACGAAATCATTCGCGCGCAAGATTAAAGGCCCTGGGTCGGAATCCCTCGAGTGGGTACGTGGTTGCGCACTGTTGAGGAGACCACAGTGGTGGTCTAGAGTAGATCGACTCATAAATGCAACTTTCAAAATACTACAATCTTTACAAATCCTTGTACTGATCATATAAATATATCTATTTTCTGCATGGTTTCCTTTTTTTTCCTAAAATATCTCTTTTCTTTTTTTTTTACTTGTTTATGTGTCATAATTTGCTTTTAAGGTTAACAATTTTCTAAGATGATGTGTAAATAACAAACAGATTTTTTTGACAAACTGACCTACTACTACTACTTAGTTGAATAATAATAAGTAGAAAAATTTGTTTTTGATAAATAAGTATTTTATTAAATTTTTGTTATTAAGTATTAAATTCTATTGAATATAAGTGTCAACAAAGTTCATGAAAACACTATTGAATCGGAATACTATTTGTTATAAATTTCTGGAGTTTTCATCAATGAACCAGAAAAAGTAGCACTTAAATGTGGTCTTATGATATATTCTACAAAGTCAAATGATACAAATGAGTGAAATGAAGAAATTGATAGCATGGGTATAATCCAGACAGACCATATACGGTCTCAAAACTATATGAGATATGTCAGTGATACACATATGAACTGTGTTCAGAAAACCTAGTAGAAGTGTTTCACTGTAACCTTCCTATTTACTTGATATATCAGGGGCATTTACATCAATACATCACTGAAAACATAAGGCTGAAAAGGAGGAAAACATTCACAAATGAAATCACCAGACACCTTCTTGATAATGAACGTAAAGTGAATGTATGTAACGTATTCAAAACAATAAACAGACAAAGAATACAATCTTAATCTGTTTTCTAGACACAATCATTGTCAAATGTTTCCGATCTGTCCTATGTATACAGATGAAAAGTGTGATTAACGTTTCTATTCCATGATAATTAGATGTTCATCTCATAACCGTTATAAATTTTAACTTTCAATCTTTATATTTCAACCCTGTGTTCAACCTTATCTCTTTGTTTTATTTTTTCTGCTGACATTCATCCTTTACACATTTTCTTTGTATTCAGTCAGTTATTTTATCACGTTGAGCGAACCTAATCACGTAAGAACTTCAGTATGCTTACATAACCTCTTTTATCTAAATTAGGATCACTGTTAACAATAACAACTGTTCCACTCAGTGTTACTGCTTTCCAATATATAAAATAATTGGTATCATGAGTCAATTGAAGGTAGACCACCATGAAAAACCTGGATGCATTGGACGGCCGTTTCATCCTGTAGTAGGACTTCTCAGCATTGTTGGATGCCGTCCGTCTCAGTGGTCTTGTGGTCAAGTGCTCGCGTGCGAGACCAGTAATTCTTGGGTCCGGATCCCGCGAGGCGGGATCGTGGGTGCGCACTGCTGAGAAGTCCCACAGCAAGACAAAACGGTCGTTTAGTGCTTCCAGGTTTCCCATGGTGGTCTAGCTTCAATTGACTCATGATTTCAACTATGTAAACTACTAAAATCCTCACAAAACCCTTTCTGATATAAAATAAACCTAAGGCAATTAGTACCTTTGATAAATTTGAATAATGGAATAAGAAGACAACAATTATCAGAACTATGTGATATTTTAGCGCAAGACATTTCGAGCAATCTGATCACACATAATATATTTGTTAAGAACATTTATGTATAGGATAAAATGGCGTATATAAATGTTCTTAACAAGTATATTATATGTGATCAGACTGTTCAAAATGTATTGCTTTCATACATCACAAAGGTTTGATAATCTTCATCTTTTTATTACACTATGCTAATATTAATACGCATTGATCTTAACTATGCAAGTAAATCCAGCTGACGAGTCTCAAATATGACAAAACGCGAGTCCTGAATTCCACTGCTATTCACAATCCATTTTCTCTTATAAAGATCCTATGTTTACCATGTTTACCCTTAAAATTTATTTTTATTCTTTGTGTTACAATGATTTCAATTATAGAAACTCACATGCAATTGAGTTTGTTGACATTTAATTAGGTTAAGACCTTTTGTTAACTTATTTGACGGAAAGAGTTATTCGTACAATAACAACTTATCTTACATCATTGTATCTTTATTATTGTTGCACCTGTATGAATATGTATGTTTGAGCATTGCTTACTGCCTAAACATACATTCATTCTGTTAGCTTTACTATTAACTGCTTAATTGATACGATAATTCATTCATGTATATATACATTTAATCCCATTCACTCTCGACTCACTCATTCGCCTCTTCGCTTTGTGGTTTGAGCTATCTGCTAATAAAACTTTAGTCTCTGCTTCTCTTTGCCTTCTGATTTCAAATACCATTTGAGGTTTATATAATAACAGTTACCACGGTTGATTGGTTAACGAAGCACAGACAGTACATATTTATATTTTGGACATTGATCTAAACTTCATAAACTAAAGTAAATTATATATGGGTTAACAACGAAAATGTTTAGGTTGTATGTATCTGATATGAAATCGTGAAATAGATTAATGAAATTGTTTTATTCTACAAACCCAGAATCATTCTTGGGTTCGTTTCAAATTTATCAAGGGATCTGATTGTATGGAAAATTTGCTTCATTTTAAAAAGAAAAAAACACACACACATAATAAGCAATTCATTTCAACACTTACTGATCACAACAAAACAAGAAATAATGATTGAATAGAATTGAGAAAAACCAATATTAGACAAACACCTAATATTGAATATAAATTATAAATGTCATTTCATCTTTTTATCCCATTCTAATGAATATTCATTAAGAAAATTTGGCGAGACTAATTTATGGACGAGTCAATCAGAGGCGTTTTAGAGATTTCAAGGCTACGGCGTCAACTTCAATGCTTAATACTAACGTACGATCGGTTCACAGAAATTTTTTTACAAAACGTGACAATTGAGCGGCTATAAAAAAATAAAACGGCAAAACTATAATTTGTGGACGAATCAGTCAGGTACAAGATAATAGATCTCGGATTTTAACGCGAAAGTTTTTCATCCATTTGACTAGATAAATTTCTGGCATGATAGCTGATGTCAGTTCGTGATGAAAACCCCATATATTAATTCCTAACTAAGGCAAATTACGAAAATTATTGCGAACTGGATAATAAAAGCACCAGTAACACTGGCTGCAGCCAGGTACTACAATATATACGGATGATTGGAGAGTGTACAGACTCTTACATAAGCTTGGTTGTGTGCGTCGTGTAGTTATCCGAAAGTGGCATTTTGTGCACTCAACAACCGGAGTGCAAATAAACAATATTGAAACAATGTGGT